TATTTTTCTTTCGAAACTGTGAAACCTACCTTTGGCTGAGGCCAGGCCGGCAGAGAGCCAGGCTCTCAGGCCGCACAGCACTGGCCCCTGAAGTCCTGTGTTTGCTGAGCTGTGCTGTTGGGATTCCGTCTGCCTCCCCGGGGGCTGCAGGGCAAATAGCCCCATAAAACTGCTCTTATCAAGGGGGCTTTGTACATTACATGGTGGACCTTCAGGAGAAATTTATTTTTAATTTCAGGAACAGGAGAAGTGCTGCTTTGGAGCATTTTTTAGGGACAGTCTATTGTATAATGTAAGGTTTTTGTTTTCACATTTGCTATTAAAAAGTCCGGCTACACCCAAGCCCCCTCCAGCAAGGTGAAGGGCCGTGTGGTATGTACGCACCTTTATGTCGCTGTCTCTCTTCCTGTCCATCTTCCTGCCTCTGTGCCTGCTTTCCTACTTCTAACATATGTTATCTAGTGGCATTTTGTGTTACCTTTTCAGCAACCTTAAATCTTTTGGGGAAACAAAATAGAGATAGATATATTCACCCATGGGAAACACATTATGTTGTGTCTCTGCGTCAGTTGAGTTTTATTTTTTCCTAAGAGCATGGTGCTTTCCAAGTACTTCGCCACCTGAGAAGGAGAATCTTCCGTTTAGAATGTCAGCTGCTTAGACGGCAGAGAAGATTCTTTCTGATATCTGGCAGATACCAAACCATGCCGCCATCACCAACCAGTAATTCTTAAAGCCCTGTCTGGCCTCCATAAGACGACCTAGCGTGCTGACACTTCGTAGTTTAGTTTCTGGCGCCACCTACTTAAATCCCCGTTTCAAACCTCCTTCCTACACAACCAGTTGTTTTTTCTTGTAAATTTTTACTAAATTTTGCTCACCCATTTTGCCTGTGGGTAGATTACAGTGACTTCTGAGTCAGAGAGAGGCCTGTGGCCTCAGGCTGTAAACAAATGTTTAATAGTCTCGGTCCCTGAGCGAAACGTAGGTAGGTCGGTCAAATCCACAGCAAATGTCAGGGCGAGCTGTCCAGTTCTTTGCTCAGCCTGGATGACTAAGGCTCGCCTCTGTGCTGACGTCCTCGGGACCCTGACTAGCCTCTGGGAAAAGCGTGGAGTTACAGTAGCAAAAACAGAGGCCATAAAAATAATGACGGTTGTACAGTAGTGTGAATGTACTTACTGCCACTGGACTGCACACTCACACATAACAAAGTGGTTGACATGGTAAATTTTATATTTTACCACAACTTAAAAAATGTAATGAGTTGCATAAAACAAGGTATTCAACACAGCAGAAATCAATAACAATTTTTATAATACCATTATGTTGATGTTATAGTATATCATGTTTATATTCGTTGTTAATAATCATACTAATCAATACCTGTATGCTGCTTAGTATGTGCCGAGTATTAATGTAAGCACTTTATATAGAAATAAAGCCTTTGTCTCTGTTTCCCTGTGCCTACTCAGAAAACAGTCACAGTCTTGAATGTCGCGGTGAAGCCGGTCGTCCCCCAGGCTTCGGGAACACCTCCTTAGTCAGCCAAGAGGCGCTTCAGGAGGCAGTCAGGTAGAAGCGGCGTCCGCACTGCCAGGCCTCACGCCAGAGAAAGCGGGGAGGGTGTGAGGTTGCCTGCACGTCACTGCTGGGGGGGAGAAGCAGCCCCTTGGGGTACAACACGGACATGCAGGCGGCCCAGGCGTGGTCTGCCAGCGACACAAGGACGAGGCGGAACACTGACCTCAGGGTCCCCGTGTGGCTGACTCCCCTTGCGAGGGCTTCCTGCCCCCTGCAGGTCCCCCTGCTCCAGCGCCATCCGCTCTGATCAGCAGGCCCTGTGCTCTCCCCCCGAGCATGTCAGAATCCTGTCCGACGTCGGCCTCCCAGGGACAGTCCCAAAGGTGACCGTTTAGTACGATGACCACCATCCCCGTTTGGTTCGCAGTAGGGGTATCGCTCACATCTGTGTGTGTCTCCCGGGCCCTCAGAAAGGCCCTTCAAGTGGCTCTCGTTTACATTTCTGTTGCTCTTGTGAACACGCTGGACTGATGGGCGTGGCGCAGGGTGGCGGGAGGTAGACGGGTCAGCCCCAGACTGTACCAAGGGAGTAGGGAGAACAGGTGGGTGTGCGGGGGAAAGCTCCCAGAGCCCTGGATTTAAGTATAAGCTCTCATACATCCTTGATTTTTTTGGACGTTAACCCTAATCTGGGATTCTGCACAGATTGCCCTAATACACACGCAGTATCTCCAAAATCTGGGATAAATCACCTCTAAAAGCTCTCACCGTCTGACTCATCCCACAGGGTCCTCCTCTGACCGGCTCTTTCCTACTCGGGGTGCAGTCTACCCATGGTCTGTATTCGCTTCTTCTGTTTGTGTTCCTTGTCCAACTGGATGAGTCTTCAAAGAGCCAAACATTCACTTTTATTTTCTCTGTATACTCTCCCCTAGAAGGTCTACCACGGTGCATTGTTGTATAGGTTGTGCTCAATAAATATTTTTTAAGAACAAATAAAATGCTGGTCCATCTGGGGAGGTTAATATTATTTTTTCTTTCCATATTCCAAATGCAAAAGACATATATGTCTTGGTGAGGCCGTTTCATGTAACAGAGACATTACATTTTGAAGCTCTCTGGTCTCAGCACAGCCTCTGGGTAGGAAACACATTCTGGCTCCTGGGCACTGACAATGCGAATGTCCCCCCACACAAGTCACTGGCCGCTCTCCCTACCTCTTGTCTACAAGAATGTAAGAACTTGGGAGAATCAGGCATTGAGAACTTTACATAAAATAACTCTCTATTAGGAAAAAAAAAAAGTCAAGAAAAATGGTAGCATGGAAATCACAGGCTTTTCTTTCTTCATTTCAAGCATGTTCATTCCATTTTGCAGCTCTGGTTGCTGAGGTCCAGAGCGCCCTAGAGGAAGGCCGCCAGTGTGGTTGAGTAGATGAAGTGATTGCGTGAAGCTGCACACCTGGCCCACTGCCCAGCACCCAGCAGGGGCACAGGAGTCCACCGTTCTTCCCTTCTTTGGAAAAACTCTCATCACCAGTCCAAAGCTTTGTCATGTGTGAGGGGCATATCCAACCCTCAACCAAACTGGCACTCTCTCCATTCCACTGGGGGTTCTTTTTCCTTCTTTCTAAAGTGAAACATCGTTGATACACTGTAATGTTGGTTTCAGGTGTACAGCCCAGGCACCCAGCGAGTATGCGCATGATGAAGTGCTCACCAGGATGAGCCGGAGTCCCTGTCTGTCACCCTCCCATGTTACCACGATATCATTGACTCTGTTCCCTGCGCTGAACTTCCCTTCCCATGACTAACTCACTTCATCATTGGAAGTTTGTCCCTCTTTATGCCCCCTCCTATTTCACCCACCCTGCCACCCCTCCCGTGTGGCAACCACCAGTCTGTTCTCTGTGTGAGTCTGTTTCTCAGGTACTTTGAAGTGTGCGTTTCAGGGCATGTGCCAGTCGCAGAACAAAATCCGCGGCCCCATGAATCGCTCCTTCTCGGCTCATCTGGAGAAGTGACAGTGAAACAGCTGTGGCTTTCTGGGGGCTCCCAGCTGTTCGGGCAATGCTTTACCCCGAGTTTGCCAAGGTGGTCGTGAGCTCAGGTAACAGTGATTCTTCAGCGTTATCTTGAAAAGTGGCAATGTTTGTCGTTTAATAACTCAAAAAAACCCTGGAAAAGTAATTGTTTCTCCTGACCCCTTCATGTTTATGATACAGTCACAGCCCCTGTTTGCCAGCTCTTAATTACAATGACTAACAATGTTTAGCATTTGACCTGTTGCTATTCAAGTCCTGGCTCTCCCGGGGGTCATTCAACTCCTCTGCATGGCAACTGATCATGACAGAGCGAATGGTGGGTCATGTTGCCAGTGGAGGATACATGCAATGGAAGTCGTAGTCATTTCCTATGAAAGACCTCAAAGAGTGCTTTTTATTTCAAAATAAGAGGGGCTTTACTATTTCTGAACACCATCAGATATAACCCAACCATCTCACCCCCGAACAAGTATTTTTCAGATCAATTAACAGTCATTATTATTAACATTCATGCCTACCGGTCTGGGGGTATGGTTAGTAAGTGTTCCGTTTCATGGAAGAGAAACTAGATCGCAAAAGAGGCTGGGAGTCTAATCGACTGGTTTCTGGTTTCAGCTTTGATGCAAATAAGCAACAGCCTCAGGCAATTTGCTTGGCCTTCAGGACCTTATTCTTCTCATACGGAGGAGATCTTATTTTGTCCTCTTCTGTTCCCCTACGTGTCACTCCACATTTCTGGTCCCTTTTATACTCTAGCAGATTCTAGATGAAGAGAGCTTCTGCTCGCTTCTTCAGTAGAGGGACTCGGGGTCTAATGTAGACGATAGCTGATGGAAATTTGCTGAGAGTATCTCAAGCATTCTTATAAAAAAGTGAGGTGATAATGCTTTCATTGATAGTAGGAACCCTTTCACAATGTGTACACATATATGAAATCAAGTTGTATACTTTAAATATATTAGTTTTATATCTCCGTAAGCTGGGAGGAAATAAATGCCAATGTTTTGTGGATTTCTGAAGCTCCAGGAAGCATTCTCAGGGCTCACCCCACCCACAGCACAGTGGGTGCCTGCAGGGAGTAGCCAGAGATGCTCCCAGTACCTGGGATGCACAGCCTTGTGTCAGGTGTCCTGCGCTGAATTTAGGCTGGTCCGGGACGTGCATCAGCCTGTAGAACCCTGCAGGAGGGAGGCTGCCCAGCTCAGAGGCCGGCCTTCAGAAGTACCACCACTCCCCACCTCCTGAGCTCTTGCTTTGGGGAGCCTGGACCTCATCCTGAGTTCACCCCTGTTGGAGACACCAAGCGGACAGGCCACGTGGGCGCAGGGTAGTGGGGAGGGGCAGCTGTCCCAGCATCCAGCTGGGCCTTCTTGTGCGTCTGGCTACAGCCGTGGACTGAACCCTCGCTGCAGACCCCATATGAGGCCAAAGGTGAAGCCACCCGGCTGAGCGCAGACATCCCACAGAATCACGAGAGAGCATAAATGTATTGTGATTTTAAGCACTAAGATCTGGCGCGGTTTGTTCCACAAGAATAGATGGCCTCCCCAGTGACTGTCCCTCCCCTGTGACCTGCAGGAGCCAGAGCTCCCCAGTCTCACAGGGCCTGTAGGATCGCTGGGCACCAAGTCCCCAGGGGAGGGGAGCGCTGACAGGGAGGCTGGGGCCGGAAGAGGACCGTACCGCTGGGTGGATGGCCAGCTCAGTGTGGGGGCACCAGGGGTTCCGATCCTGTCTCACAGGTTTTAGCCTTGGCGTAGGCGAACCTGTGTTTTGCAAGAGTGCGTTACAGTGTCAGTGGATCAAAGCCCAGCTGACGTGTCCAGTTCTCCTGCGTATTTTGGGACACTTTGTTCCCTGTCTAATGACCCCAACACTGAATGTCAAAGCAGGCGATCACTCCCAAGGGAGACAGGCTGGACTCACAAGCCCAGCGGGGCTGCTGACACCTGCTCACTCACGGAAGGTCAGTACAACCAATGCCACGTAGGCAAGACCTCATTTTAAGCACGCTTGGTTTCCTGCAGTAAGACTGTTTTCCTCTCACTGTTGAGAAAAATGAACCGCTTAAAAATCAAAATGTTTCCTTTTCTCTTGAATCTTGTTTCCTTTTCTCTTAAATCACAGTTCTTTTAAAGAAAAATATAGGAGTGAAAGCTCTCCACTCCTTACAAATTGCTTAAAAAAGTATTCTCTCTTTTATTGATGTGTATGGGGTTTAAAATATTATAACAAAGCATGTTAACTACAGGAATATTACCTTATATAGCATTTTTAATAACTGGGCAGCATTAGCCATTTTCTTATTAGTTCCTGATAATTTCCCATATATATTTGAATTAATGCAAAAATAATAGCCACCTTAATCACAGAAAGGAGTTAGTTATATTATGAAAGTCTCATATAAAAATTCTATTCTCTAATCAAACAAAAGGGAAATAGCAGAAAATTATTAATGCTGAAAATACCTATAAAGTACATTGCCCAGTCTAAATGGTTTGATATCTTTAAGAGTCCCTCCTTTCTCCTTGAATATTCAGTTTTAGTAAATATCACAGCCAAAGAGTTCTAGGCGAAGTGCTATACTTTGATTCCATGTTTTAGGAATGATGCGGATAAACCTGGAAATAATCGGCGGGTTGAAAAAGTTCTTCACATGTCCTTTGGTGTTATCATTTCCTTCGAAAATCTGAAAATGAAATATAAGAAAATCTTTGATGATGGTATAGTGGGTATAAACATCCACAGATTTTTTTCTATCCTTTCCGTTCAAGCTGAGGACATCGAAGAACACATACAGCATTACTGGGTGATCCCCAGTGAGTCATGAGATCACAGGCCAGACAGACTGCCTTAGGGACCTCGCCTGACCAGCGATCTGCGCTGAGTCGGGGAGAAAGAGCCGTGTGCTGCGGTGCTGTGGGGCGCCTGCCAACCGCCTCTGCTTCAGCTCCTCATCAGCCGTGTGACACTGAGCGAATGACTTTTATTCTCTGGTTCTCCGTTTCCTCATTGGCAAAATGGGAATAATAACATTTTGCCCAACAGAATTGTTTGGAAAGATTTAAGAAATGCATGTAAACATAGGACAGGTGCCTAGGAAGTGCCAGACAGTGGGCACCATAAATGGCTTGCTATTGTTAGCATTTAAAATAAAACGCAACCATGTGTTTGTATTTATCCTTTCTGGAATATGCCTTATAGCCTTCACCAAACTGTTTTATACCTTTTTTTTTTTTTTTATCTTTGTCAAGCTCCCCAAGTTTTACACAGAGCAGAAGCTAAATCACCATTTGTTGTTTCCCACGATGCTCCCCCAGCTACGAGGCTGTCCTGGGACAGTGAGAGACAGACCAAGGCAAACAGCCAGACGGACAGCCCGCGGGTTTAAAAAGAGAGAGGTTCAATTTCGTGGGTAAACGTCCATCCCTTTCTCCCGCACCGCCTTCCTGCTGGCTTGCTGGCTGCCGCCTAATCCCCATTCCTGGACTATCAGGCTCATCTCCTTAGTTCTGACGCTGGTTGCATTTTAAAGCCACGTCACTAGGAATTAGGAAGTGTAACAGAGTAGTTCGCCTTGCGGGAAATTAGCCACCCCACCAGCAAAGGCTAACACCGGCTTCTAACAAGACAGCTGTGTGGCCGTGGGTACCTGATGGGTCCTGAGTCGTGACCAGTGTACCCAGCGACATGGGTGCAATGCTATTTCACGGCGGAAGGCTTGCCGGGGCCGTTAGAGACGGCATGTTTGTGTCCCCCTCAAATTCCTCTGCTGAAGCCCCCACTGGAGGGGGATGAGGAGGCGGGGCTTTGGGAGGGGATCAGGATTAATTATGCCTCGAGGGCTGGGCCCCCACCAAGGGATCAATACACTTAGAAACAGAGGCGACACCAGGTCTGTCTCTGCGGGCGCCAGGGAAGGCCGTCTGAGGACACCACTGGCAGGAGGGCCCTCATCAGGAACCTGCCCGCGCTGGCACCCTGATCTGGGACCCCAGCCTCCCCCGCCGTGAGGACCGGGGCTCGCTGTTTCAGGCAGGCGGTCTGCGGTGATTTACCGGCAGAAGCCCACCGCAACACGCCCTCCACCATCGTCCTCAGCCAGAGCTAGTGAGGCTGGGCGCCCGCCCCCAGAGCTCGGCTCCGGTTCCCACTGGCCCAGCCAGACCAGGAAGAGACCCTGCGCGGTCCCTGCCCCAAGGGAAGTGCCTAAGGGCTGGAGGGTCACAGGCAGACTATTCGCGAATGCAAGACAGTGCCCCCAGCAGAACATGGCTTTCAAGTCACTCTCTTTGGGCTGAAGCCAGCCTGTACCTTGTCCGTCATGGAGGGCCCCTCCCTGTAGGGCTTCCATTCCGCCCCCTGGTCGCTGTAGTGGATGGCGAAGCTCTTCACGTACATCTCAGAGGACAGAGACTTGCAGCCCTGAGTTACAATTGCAGTTATCTTCTTGATTTTGAGCAGATCGATCTGCAACCATTGCTTGTTGTTGTTCGACTGGAAATGATGAGAACATGCAGAGAAGGCAAATGTTAAACCGCCGCTTTTTTAGATCCAGATACTGAGAGATGCACAGCGCTGAGAGGGATTTCTTTTCTGTCTCAGCCCTTGAGATGCCCCGTCTCCTACAGGCCTGCCCCCCCTGTTCGTCCTCCTCTGCGGTCACAGCACATATATAAACTCACTCTTTCAGTTTTCACACATTGGACGACAGTTATTTGTTGACGAGTTTGTATGCCTGTCTCCTGGAGGGCACAGACCTACTTGATTTTGTCTCCAGGTACTTACCGTTATGCACGGCACACAGTTGGTGTTCAACAAGTATTTGTTGAATGAATAAATGAATGCATTTTACTCAAGAAAAAGCAAATGGCTAAATCATCGGTAAATAGTATTCTCTTAACCAAGCTTTAGATGCTATAATGATACTGCTGATTATCTGGGAAAGGACTGGATAGCATTCTCTCTCTCTAAATAACTTGTTTCAGAAAAGCCCCACTTCCCGTTGCTTATGTCAAATACAAGAAATAGTCCAATTTCTTCTTCTCTGTCATTTCAAATACATGTAACTGACAGGCCTGATAAAGCCATCCTTAGGGCTTGACACGGCAAAGTGCCCGTCCTGTCTCCAGCCACGTTGGCGGTACGCCCTCGGAGGAAGGACACTGAAACGACTGAGGGTCCTGGGATGAACCTTTACCCCTGGGAGATTCATCATGCCCCAGGGTCTCATTCAGTTCATGCAAAGTCATGAATATTAATGGGTTTCCTCACCATCACTCATAGGTGTGGGTCTGTACATGTGTATACATGTATACACATAGGTGTGTATGTTCACGTGCCATATGTATTTTCAAAGCAAATTAACTTAAAATTATTGTACTGGATACTTTTTGTTGATTTTGTAACACCCTCGGGTGGTCTCCTGGTGTATCTTCAAATTGGGTATATCCAGAAATGTGCTGGTGATCAGAGGACAGACGGCGAGAGGGTCTCTGTGGGCACAAACACTTCGGCAGCGTCAACAAGGAGAGGCCCTGCGGTCCGCATGCAGCCTGAGCGCCTCGGGCTTGGTTTTTCAGCCTCTGTAAATAGCCCCTATAAACACATCTGATGCTAGTAGCTTAAGTGACACAAACGGTTCTGATGTAGTTAGAATTCCAGATTTTAAGGGACAACATTAAAAATGAAAATTTGCATTTCATCTCTGGAGTTTTTACTACATCACAAAGACTAAGAGCAGATGTATACAGAACACGTTTCTTTTAAGGCTATAAAATAGAGGGCAGGGTGACAAGACTGGACCCATGAGCAGGTCCAAGGGCCACGTGTGGAAGAATTGGGTGACATCCTCTCTCTTTAACTTCTTTCTTTTTCATTTCATTTGTGCTGTTATATCAGTTACATAAATATAACATTAGAATCATTACTTTTACTTTTATTATTTTAACTTCTCTGGGTCTCAAGGCACACAGTTGGTGTTCAACAAGTATTTGTTGAATGAATAAATGAATGCATTTTACTCAAGAAAAAGCAAATGGCTAAATCATCGGTAAATAGTATTCTCTTAACCAAGCTTTAGATGCTATAATGATACTGCTGATTATCTGGGAAAGGACTGGATAGCATTCTCTCTCTCTAAATAACTTGTTTCAGAAAAGCCCCACTTCCCGTTGCTTATGTCAAATACAAGAAATAGTCCAATTTCTTCTTCTCTGTCATTTCAAATACATGTAACTGACAGGCCTGATAAAGCCATCCTTAGGGCTTGACACGGCAAAGTGCCCGTCCTGTCTCCAGCCACGTTGGCGGTACGCCCTCGGAGGAAGGACACTGAAACGACTGAGGGTCCTGGGATGAACCTTTACCCCTGGGAGATTCATCATGCCCCAGGGTCTCATTCAGTTCATGCAAAGTCATGAATATTAATGTGTTTCCTCACCATCACTCATAGGTGTGGGTCTGTACATGTGTATACATGTATACACATAGGTGTGTATGTTCACGTGCCATATGTATTTTCAAAGCAAATTAACTTAAAATTATTGTACTGGATACTTTTTGTTGATTTTGTAACACCCTCGGGTGGTCTCCTGGTGTATCTTCAAATTGGGTATATCCAGAAATGTGCTGGTGATCAGAGGACAGACGGCGAGAGGGTCTCTGTGGGCACAAACACTTCGGCAGCGTCAACAAGGAGAGGCCCTGCGGTCCGCATGCAGCCTGAGCGCCTCGGGCTTGGTTTTTCAGCCTCTGTAAATAGCCCCTATAAACACATCTGATGCTAGTAGCTTAAGTGACACAAACGGTTCTGATGTAGTTAGAATTCCAGATTTTAAGGGACAACATTAAAAATGAAAATTTGCATTTCATCTCTGGAGTTTTTACTACATCACAAAGACTAAGAGCAGATGTATACAGAACACGTTTCTTTTAAGGCTATAAAATAGAGGGCAGGGTGACAAGACTGGACCCATGAGCAGGTCCAAGGGCCACGTGTGGAAGAATTGGGTGACATCCTCTCTCTTTAACTTCTTTCTTTTTCATTTCATTTGTGCTGTTATATCAGTTACATAAATATAACATTAGAATCATTACTTTTACTTTTATTATTTTAACTTCTCTGGGTCTCAGTGTGCCCCTCTGCAAGACTGCAAACTGAGGCATTTGGGTTCCCACTGAACTGTTTGTCAGGAGAATGGGGGTCCCGATTCATGCCTAGACTCAGCCACAGGGGTTCAGTCTCCTTCGGGTCTGGGCCAGAAGGGGGAAGGCTGGATGCTCTGTGGGACCCCTTCCTGTTTTATCCTGTGATGCTAAGATGGGCCAGAAATGAGCTCCGAGGCCCAGCCGTCAGTTCCCAGAACCATCAGCATGGGGCCACATTCTTCTCATTTCTGGTGGCCTGACTGAAGGACAGGACCTGGGATTCCGCAGAGAATCCAGGGGTTTGGGGTGTAGATATCGTGAGAGAGGGATGGGGGAGTAAAGAAAACAGGGGACTTGGAGCAGGTTGGCTGACCAACCATTTTGATTTCTCAGGTCATTTGAAGGGTGTGACAACAATGAGTCAAGTTACTCAGGTATTGCAAAACTAAGTCACCTGAACAACTCAGTGGGCTGATATCAGGGGCACTATAACTCTCCAGAAGTTGTTTATTAAACTTATACCACTGATTTATAACCCGGTTTTGCAGCATTTTATTGTGCCTCCAGTTGCTTAAGGGAACGTCACAAAGTTCTCAAAACAACAGGCGCAACAAAGTTTAAATGGCACTATTAAGGAGAGGGAGAGTATCACTAATTTGTGGGGTGGGGAGGGGGAGTGGTGCGAATCTAAATCGTTGTCACTAATGCAAGTTTTCTCAACTAGGAGTTGCTGAACTGCAGCCAAGGGCCCAATTCGGCCCCGTCTGTGTTTGTAAATGAACTTTTACTGGAACACAGCCACCATCATTCATTGACATACTGCTTATGGCCACTTCCCTGCTACAGAGGCTGAGCTTAGTAGTTATGCTCACAAAGCTTAAGATATTTACCATCTGGCCCTTTGCAGAAAACTTTTGCCCACCCCTGTTCTAAATCAAGAGCAAGAACCACAGAGATGATAGGTAACTTCTCTCCCAGCCAAAAGGTTAGAGCTAAAGCTCTCCAGGCGACAGACTTCCTAGACTCTCAGGTGGAGGCTCATGACCTGCAGAAACCGGAGATGATACTCCGGCCACCCCTGCTCCCTGCAGAGAGGGCCTCTGCTTTCCCCTGAAAGGCCGAGAGAACTCCGCTCCGGGGGGCGGGGGGCACCTCACCTTGGCTTGCCAGGCGTTCACGCGTCCCTGGGCATTAAGACGGGCACGGAAGGGTTCCCAGTAATCTCCCCACCAAGACTTTCTGAATGAGGAAGCCGAGATTTGCCTGTTTTCTATCTTCCCACTTTCCATACCAAGTGGTGTGGAGCATCCTGTCAAGAGAGAAGTGATGTGATTGTGCATCACCAGGATTGCCTGCGAGGCACTTTGCACTGCAGGGGACACAGGGTATGATATTACCACTAAGTAACAACAAGACAACCGTCACAACAGTGCCATTTATTGTCCCCATGCCAAACCCTGTTTTCAAGCTTTCTGGGTATTATTAATGCTAACTTTCTCCAGTCTGCAAATGAGAAAACAGAAGTGCAGCAAAGAAAGAGCAGCTTGCCCGAGGTGACGGCGCTGGACAAGCCGGAGACTGAGTCCGAGCCCGGGGAGGCTGGTACCAAATACCTCATCCAAACGCATCTCCCCCCTGTGGAGACCCGCAGCATCTGCGGTCTTCACCTTGAGCCAGACAATAGTCCTACGCTGTCTATGACTGTAAAAATATACTCTCTTCTTCTACCCAAAGCCACAAAGGAGAAGGTGTGCTGGACCCTGGGTAGTCACATTTTCTGTTTTATTTTCAACTGAATTTGAATGTCATGGGCATCAAGGCTGATCTGTGAATGTAAGAAATGCGGCTGCGCATGTGTGCCTGGCTGACAGCCCTTCATCTGTCACACTGAGCTTGTCAGTAAATCATGCAGATGTTTTCTTGAGATAGCTGACCCCCTCCATGAAAATAAGGAAGGCTTAAGAAGAAGAAAGCCTGCTAATTATACCGCGATAGTGAAGAAATGTTTTAAAAGCAATGCTTCTTGTATAGAAAACAGATGCTTTCAATAGATAACAGTTAAATGTCACATTTTGGAGGAGCCTGAACTCTGTAGCCTGCACAAGCTGCTTTTTACATCACACACTGTATGGAAAGAAGAAACAGTGATTTTCAGAGCTGTTTCAGGGGCGCTCCTGCCCGGACAAAATGCGCGTGGAGTTGCACGTGGAGTCGTACACACTTGCTAACTGGGCATCGGCAAACCACCGTGCCCATATCCCTCATGAGTATCAAGTACATATGGCACCATTATCTGCTCAGGTAGGAGTCTCATTCTGAGGTTCAGTTGCTTTCTGCACTGTGAGCCGTAGCTCCTCCCTCCACACTGAGCCCGTGAGCCAGTGAGCAGGTGCCGTGCCCAACAGGTGTGCCACAGCAAGTGAAAGCGGGCCTCTACCTCGATCGCCCTCCCCGCTCAGCCCGTGAGCAGCCAGGGGTGCCTGGATCAGCCAGGCCCTGGGTTGATGGCTTCATTCTTTTACCCCAGGCTGCTGGACAGATATTATTTTGTATATGTGCTTCAAAGTGACAGACTTTTGGAAAGCACTACTTGAAGAGTCAGAGAAGAATAACTGATAAGACACTTAAACATCCTTGTTACATATTTATTATATATATTAAATATCCTTGTAGAATTTTAGTGAGACTGTTTTTGATTAGCTAATTGATTTATACCATGGGTCGTATCTTATCTCCCAGAAGACAGCAGCTCAGAGAGAAGGCCTGGGTGCTTACAGAGGGTGCAAACAGGACATAGAGTGCAAGGTTTCAGGAAGTTCAGAAGCAGAAACAGATTTCAAAAGCATTCACTGAACGCCTAATAAGTGCCAGGACTGGAGGCTCTCACCGCACTAAACGTGAGTGGCCTGCTGGACTTCGGGAGAGTCGGGCCCAGTTTGAATCTCAGTTTTTATTGAGTTTGGGCTGATGGGGTGGGGGCGGCCATTCTAAGCTAGGGCCCCTCCCTGGGAGGGTCAGGTGGTGTCCACATCACCCAGGCACTGTTCAGAGAGATGGGACCTGCCCCTGTCTTCCAGGAACGGTCTTGGTCTGAATGACAGCGAGGTTTTACCTGAGTGGAACCCATTTCACAGACATTTTCCCAGGAGCCTAAGAAATCGACGTGAGCTAACATCTCCCCATATTCCTGTACCTCCCAAATCCCGGCTCTCTACGCGTCTCAGCTCCTTACCGTTAACCTCGCAGCCTAGCAGCTCCAGTCGAAGCGCAGGTTTGTTATAGAACTGCGTTGGAGAGATCCTGACGTACCTAGCCACGATAGGTGGGTCAAACTGGTTCTCTTTTACTGTGGAGGCATCCGAATTGCCGTTAAAATACTACAGGGAAAGAGGGAAACTTGGTTACATAACAATTCTCTGTAAAATGGTTTTACAACAAAATTTTGGCCCATTTGAGTATTTTAGTATTGTTTGCATGTGCCCTGAACCAAATCAATTTGATCTTAAAAAATAAAAGTGGATATTTCTACTCAAGAAGGTGGTACTTTCCCCTATTCCGCCTCCTCAGAAGCCTGAGGGTGGGGAGGGGAAGGCAGCCTGTCCGGGCTCCCCGGGACCCCAGGGACAACACGCTGGACCCCCTGGGTTTTCTCTCACTTCATGTGTCTCAGACTTGGAAGTGAAGAAGCCAGCGGCCAGGAAACGCAATGGGCACAGATGAGCCCCAGCAAAAGCCTCCCCACGCTCAGCAAAGGCCAAGCAGAAGGACTTCGTGCCCTGAGGCTGCAGTGAGGCACCCAGTGCCCTCACCAGGTTGGGTCCCGGAGGCCAGAGAGCACCCCAGGCTTTCACCCCCCACAGCCTCAGTAAGATGCCCACCCTGCGGTGTCGGCCGAGAGCATCCCACCTGCCCACTGGCGAGGAGGACCAGCCCCCGGGCGGGTGGGGCCCCAGCCTTGGCCTCCCCACTGCCGTCCCCAGGCTGTGTGCCGTCCCCTCCGCCCGCCCGAGCAGCCCAGGCAGGAGCAGACATCAAAGAGGCTGAAAACAGAAAACCTGTAAATAAAAGCAAGGAGACGGCCAGTTCTTTGAAAAGATTTTTTTTGAAATGGCGCATCTCTAGGCAAGACTTAGAAAGCACACAGAGAAGAGACACAGATTCCCAGGGTCAGACATGGAATAGGCGCTGCCACGGTGACACCGGGGGTGACAAGGGCCCTGCAGATGGCGCCACATGACACTGAGCCGCACACAGGAGACGACGGATTCTCTGTGAGCCACCAGCCCTCCCAGCATGAAGCAGGGATTCAGACAGCCTGGAGCTATTTAAAAAATTGAATTTGTAATTTTACAACTCCTGGAAAAGAAATCTCCAGACCCACATGGTTTCACTGGTGAATTCTACCAAATGTGTAAAGAATTCACACCAACTCTAGGAAACCTCTTCCAGAAATAGAAGAGCACATTTCCTAATTCATCTTACGAAGTATAGGTAACAGTCTGGAAGAATATATCTGTAAATGATACATCCAATCAGGGTCTAATACCCAAAATACAGAAAGAACTCATCAACTTGACACCAAAAAATAAAAAAGCAAATAATCTGACTATCAGGTGGGCAGAGATCCTGAATAGACATTTTTCCAAAGAAGATATACAGATGGCAGACACATGGAAAGATGCTTCACATCACTAATCTCTGGGAAAATGCAAACCAAAACCACAGTGAGACATCACCCCACACCAGTCAGAATAACTAATATCAAGAAATGACAAGTGTAGGTGAGGATGTGAAGGAAAGGGGACCCTCTGCACTGCTGGTGGGATTGCAAATCGATCCAGCCTCTATGGAAAGCAGTGTGGAGGTTCCTCAAAAAACTAAAAATACCATATAACCAATCAGTGCTATTTCTGAGAATTTTCCCAAAGAAAACAAAATCACTTCTCCAAAAAGATATATGCACTCCTATGTTTATGACAGCATTATTTACAGTAGCCAAGATACAGAAACAACCTAAATGTTCATCAATAGATGAATGAATAAAGGGCATGTGGTACATACACAATGGAAAAACAGGTGTAAAAAGAATGAAATCTTGACATTTGTGACAACATGGAGGGAGCTAGAGGGTATATGCTAAGCAAAATAAGATAAAGACAAGTACCGTATGAGTTCATTTATATGTGGATTCTAAAAATACAGAGCAAACGCAACTGTAATAGAAGCCTGGTGGTTGCCACAGGGGAGGCAGATAAGTGGATGAATGAAATAGGTGAAGGGGGGGAAAAGTAGAATGTTTTTTTTTAAAAAAAAGTACCAAAATAATACAAAAACCAAAAGTACACACCTATATCCCTCATGAGCATAGATGCAAAAGTCTTTAAACTCTGGACTCTAATCTGTGTTCTCTCTCCCATACTGATTAGTAAGAGCCACAATTTAAGGTTTTCATGATCTGTTCTAAGGAATAGTGCAAATAATTAGAAATAGCTGAAAGATAGAAAGAATAAAATATGTAATGATTTATGGGAAAGATGGAACTGACTCGAGGTCATCAGCACAGTAGCGGCAGACTGACCCCTTGCACCCCGACAGCTTTCCTTGGGGCCGGGGCCGGGGCCAAGGGAGGAGGGGAGAGTCCTGGCTGGCACAGTTGGGACCCTGGGAATGACCCTGGCTGAGCACCTGCAGATCCGGCGGGACGGGCACTCCTCGGCACGGCCGCAGCACATGCCTGAGAACCACACTGCCTCAGAGCGTCACCAGTATTAACACTACGACTTCCTCCAGGGACAGTGAGGTAAAGGGCAAAATAAAACACAGACATTAGTGAAATCAGAACTCTTGGTTTTAGCACAAGCTCCTCAAGGCCCAGGAGCAGGTCGTCTGCTCCGCTGTACACCATCTGCCAAGCTGAAAAGTGTGGGTGTTTAGTTTGAGGACAAAGTGATGTTTTAAAGTTTTGTGAAGTTTTGAAATTCTGAAGTCTGGCTTTTCCTTTTTCATTCGTAATATACTGACTTATCATTTTACCAGATGCCTCCATTAGACCCCAAGAAAGCCACTCATATTTCTAACACCCAGAGAAAGGCACTTCTAAAGAAGACCCAGCCACAGACACGGTCACAGTCACATCGGCGCAGGTCTCGAGACTGGGAAGGGGCGACGCGCACAGACCATCACGCTCCTGGAGCCGCTCCCCTTGAAGATGTGCCAGTTTGTCCGGTCGGAGCTGTAGGCGACGGAGAACTCGGTGGTGTAGTAGGACTTCAGGTAGTGCTTGGCACCTTGGGTCTGGACCCCCGTGACTACGACTTCCCTTTGCATGTCCACCTGCAAACCAGCAAAGCCGTCACACACCTGTCCTCGTCAGCGAGCCGCACACTGCCTTCGTGCCGGCTGTCCCTGGACCTGAAGGGCCGGCACCTGAGGAAACCGATGAACCAGCTCTTTGCGGTTCACAGGTGGGCACAGACACCTGGGCTGCATCCAGGCTCAGCCCCTGACCGGCTGCGTCCGGCTTTGGGCAGCCGAGGAGCCCCTCTGTGCGAGTCTGTACAGTATGGAGCACCTGGCACCTAGCAGGTGCTCTTTCCCTTTGTAGCATTGCAGGAACAACAAGAGAAATGATCAAATCACAGCCTTTTTCCCTGTTATTGACTATACTCCTTAATGCTATAATTTTCATCCCCATGACTTGTTAATTTTATAGCTAGAAGTCTGCACTGTCATTTTTATTATTACGATAGCAGTAAATATTAACAGGGTAGTAAAACATACCTGTATCCAAGGTTTAGAGCTGAATTCTGTTGGGACTTTTTCTGTGATCCAAGCATTATATGATCCGCCGTTGTTTAATCTTGCTAAATGCGGCTCCCAATAACCTACATCCAAAGGAAGAAAAACAATTATTCTGAATTTTAACAGTGTGCAATTACGTATTTCCCAAGTAACCTTCATCTCCATGGAAAATCAGGTCCCTGGAGGACCTTGTGTCGCAGTCAGGAGGCCGAGCGCTGCCGTGGGCCTCGGCTGCTGCATCCGCCCCCGGGGATGAAATGCTGGTTCGGGGGTCTGGCTGGTCAGCTCTCAGCCACCGCTCACCTCCTCCCCTGCACACACGTTGTGTTTATCTTTTCTCGGTTACACTGTTGCTGCTGAGAGCGCCTGCCTAACAGGAAGACATGGAGGGATTTATGGGGGCCCCACGACCCCTCACATTGACCTCTTGACCTTGGGAGGGGCTTTGAGGCAGCGTAAGGAAACTCAGAGGTGTTCCTGACACACAGTAGGTGATCAGCAAGGCCTCCTGAGGGCTGGCATAGCAAAAGGCCCTCTTAATGGGGCATGTGATCCTTGGCCGGTGTGGTACAGTGACACTGGGGGGAATATTACGTGTGTGACCGGACCCAGCATGGGGATGCAGCAGGGGAGGCTTGGACACGGGCATGTGGCTGAGAGAGTGTTATTCAGCCTCTGCCCAGGGCCTGCCGTGAGGACCGACCGCCTGCGTGGACGTTCTGAGGACATGTGGCTCTCGGTCCACAGGGGAAAGAACTCTCTGGGCACATTTTACTCTCAGAGGGCAGAGGGGCCAGGGGGTGCCACCATGCTCATTCCCCTACCAGGGGAACACCCCAGATACAGCTGGTGTATGGGGTAGAGAGGGCCAATGGCAGGTTGCTAAGCGTGGTTTTGTGGCCCACGGATGCGGGCGGGGTTGCCATGCGGGGTTTTGCAGCGGGAGGAGGTGCCTTCACGGAACCTGAGGCTGCCACTCACGCATGTGCTCAGAAGCCTTGATCTGTGCATCAGCGATCACACCAGTGCTTAGTCCCATTGGCATCTTGCATTCTATAAAAAGAGAACACGTAAGTTTTGTTTAGAAAATACATCTAAAAAGTGAAAGCTCTCTGGCCAGAGATGATATACCTCTGGTGGGTCAGTCATCAGGCATTTGCACCTACCTTGCATGGCACTGACTTAAATATGTCGATCATGAAATGGTAAATGCACTAGAAAGACTGGTGCTTTATAGAAACGGACACTCTGGAGGATGACAGCTGAAATTCTGAAACGCAGTCTGTTTTTAAACTGATTTTCATCTGCTTGTATTCTAAAATAAGCCATTTTACAACATTAAGTACCACTGCTCATAAGACTACATTCCCAAAAGTTGACCTACAAGGTACAGGCTGCTGTGCATCCGATCACAGTCACAGGAGTGGTGCCAGCCTGGCAGCCAGGGACGTCCACGTGTTGACACAGTGCTTGTTACTCAGCAGCTGCTTAATAAATGCTGGCTGGCCGGCTGGCCGGACAGATGGGAACTGTCTCTCTTGCATGGTGAAATGTGACTATCTCGGTCATTGTGGAATTCCTGGGAACTTTTCCCTCCTCCATTTCAGGAGTCTGGAGAATTCCTTACATGCAGTTTCCCACGGATTGTGCATCCTGAAGGAGGATTGTTGTGTGTAGGTTCCCCAGTTGAGAGGAAGGCCTTTGGGCTGAGCTGTCTGGTGTACGTTTCCTAGGTGACTGGTGTTTGCAGTATAATCAGACGATAGGACAGAATAAAAGCAATGACAGCTGCAGATTATGCCTCTGGCCTCTGGCCTGCAGCGTTCTTAGCTCGGGTATTTCCAGTGTAAGGCTGCGAATGCCCTGGCAGCAGGCCCTCTCTGCTAGCGGTGTCTGTGGCTCTGAGACGGTACCTCTGTCAATGATGAGAAATGGAGTCTGCATCCCTGCTTGCTGGCTTTCTCCGACCTCTGAGTCTAGGAGCCACCAACCAGGTTTGGATGCCTTCATTTCCAGAGTTTTAAATGTACCTAAAATAGAGCGTGAAGGACAGCGTTACACACCCAAAGGCTGATGAATCAATATTGGGTGATAGCCGTCCCAGAATCCTAAAGGGCTCTCAACTCCAAACCCACAGGAGGCGTTCGAGTTGCACATTTCCCTTTGGCAGGACTGGAGGTGCCACAGGTCACAGGGCAGAGCAGCCACCGTGCACACGCGTCACTAACATAGATCGTCCCGGGATTTTAAAATATCTCCAGCACTCTTTACTAGAGAGAAACTTTCATTTGTCTAAACACAGCGTTGACAAGTTCACCCACGCACACACAGACGCTTCACCGTCCCGGCACCAGAGCAGCCTTGGGTAGCCTGTCATTGGAGCTCAAAAACATTGTCTGTTTCCTTTTTCTCTCTTCATTTCGCTCATTTTTTGTTTTTATATAAGAAAACATCCCCTGTGTTTTCACATTTTCTAGAAAGTTCACATGTTTGGATAGACACTACATGAGCTGTTTCAGAAAATCATGGAAAGAATGAGATTTCAGAAACCTCTGGTCATCCATTCTGGTGTTTAACATCGCCCCACTGCCAGCTGATACTTAAATTCTACTGCCTGTGAGTTGTGGCCGTTTCCCAGGTTGTGAGTAAACCTTAATCGCGGATGCTCATCCTCCCCGAACGCGCTAGAACAGTCCCCCCGCCTTCCACCCTCCAGGGCAGATGTTCAGGGCGGAAGGTTCAGATGGGCCGGCCTGGCCCAGCTTCTCAGGGACTCTCCCAGGCGCGTGGGAAGGATGACTGACCTGGAAACACTGGGTAACAAGTACGGCGTGACTTTGACCTGATGCCCTCTGCTCCTGATTTTAATAGGGCGGTGCTATTACCATGTTAGTAGTGAGTCACTGGCGTGTTTAAACAAACAGGAACACTCTTTCCCGTCCCAGCCAAACCGGGCCATCTGGACCCGATGCCAACATCGAGGCTGGCTCCCAGAGCCCCTGCCCCACCCGACGTCCTGGCAGGCCTGCCCTCACCGGCCTCCAGAGCATTAGGAGGAGATAGGCTCATTGAACATGCAGACTCCCAGGCCCCTGCCCCAGATCTACCAAGTCCAGGCCTCTGAGAGCAGAATCTGTGCGTGTGTGGCGTCTGCATTTTAACCGGGTTCATTACACCCACTGCAATTTGAGAATCAGTGGCATCTGGCCCTCAAACTCCCATCCCCACACACAGCCAGCCCTGCAAACCACGGGTGCACAAAGACCCCCCTTTTTGATGTTTGTAGTTTGTTTAAACCTTACTGTTTTGCACATGAGAAGCTCTAAATACCGTTGTTATTCTTCAGCTTTTATTATCATTAAAAACAGTCTTTTTTCATGAGTCAGCTTCAGATTTCTGTAGCCACTGGCCCAGAGATATCAGGCTGGGACTAGAGTGAGGAGTAAAGGGCAGGAACTCAGGAGTCCCAGCACACCAGTGAGTTTCCGAGCTCTCTGCGGAGGGCAAGCCTTAGCTGCCCGAGCCCGGAGGGGTTGGTCCTGTGATCTGCACACCTGGCCTGTGTGTAGCACAGGCTGGAGGAAGCGGGCCGCGTGTTTAGCCTGTGTGGTGCGGCAGACAGCACGCCCACGGCTGGCACTGGGCCCTGTGTGCAGTCTGGGGATCCAGAGCCCATGCCCGGCCCCTTAGGAAGCAAACACGCAAGGAGGGAGGGAGTCACCCACGCTAAGATCGCCTTTTCTGGCCTCTTCTCCGCAGACCCCTCTTCTCGCCGCCCAGGCCTTACCAGGCAGAAGCGGCCAGACCCCGAGCTGGTGCTGCTGCGTGCCGTTCTCCAGCAGGGTCTGGCCGTGGAAGCGCACCACGTGCATATCCTGGGGGCCGCCCACGTTCAGCAGGTGCAGCCGCACCCACTCCTGCCCGTACATGCTCAGGCCGGGCAAGCTGTAGATCATCCCATTAATGGCTGGAAGGACAGAGTCGCAGTCAGTTAAAAACCTGTGTCCACTGGGAGGGAGGCTGGTAGGGAAACCGAGGGGCCGCCACCCACTCATGCCCAGGCCAGTCCCGCACGGTAAGGGTGCCCCGTGGGTCACAGTGGATGCGAGGCTGGGACGGTGCCACCTGCCTCTCCTGCCCCCGTGCACCGCAGTGGGGGTCAGCTCCCTCTCCAAGCTGTGCGCGCCTCTCTACCCCGGACTTACACCTGCTCTGTGCTTGCCGTGCACCCTGTATGTTTATGGCATGAAGTTTCCTGTGCTATGAAAGGATAAAGGCTTATACGGGCCAGGTAATGAGCTCCAGCGGTTAGAGGAGAGAGTGTACATTGGGGGGTGTACCGCAGGCCATGCTGAGGGCTCCTAAATCCAGAGAGCTTCCCCACATTGCCCACCAAGGGCTCTCTGGCCACTGTCCCGTTATCTACCCACTCAGTGCCCCACCTTAGCTGGTTCTCCCGCACTGTGGACGCCCCTGGGAGCTGCTGAAGGCTAGAACGGCTGCCAACACTCTTATTTTGGAAGGTCAGGTGGGTGGCCACTTCTGCAGAACTAATTGTTCCTTGAGAGGTCAAGAAACAGCTCTCTTAGCTGTTGAAATTGTAAATAATGCTAATTCCTTTGCAAGCTGTGTGGCAGTGGAAGCCCTCCGCCTCTGTGCTTGTGGGTGGGAGTGGGTCCCCTCTGCCCTGGCCGTGGGGCTTCCTCGACTGTCTCGACAGCCCTTCCCTCCCCGCGTCCCTGCTTCACCCCAGCAGCCCTCCGGGACCCTTAGGGGCCTGGTTTTAGTGGCAGCTCCTGGCTCCTCAGAAGCACCTCAAGTCCGATCTTGTGAGGCCCTAAGGGCAGGAATCCCCCGTGTGGTCTGGCTCAGAGATCAGATCATAAAGGAAAATACCGGGAAACTTGTGCGCGTTCTTCGTTTCTGAGGATGCGGGCGTCCAAAGCCTAGGAGACTGATGCTTCCTTTGGTAGTACCAGCTCTTCCTTTCATCAAAAACCATGAAAAGTAAGACGAACTCCCTCATGTCCACAGGCATGCTGCTCTCCGCGTGGAGCGTCCCTTTCTGGCAGATGAGGAGGGGGCCTACCAGGCCCGAGTGGATGTCCTTCTCCTGGAGGACAGAGCAGACAGCTCGCAGGCCCTCGGTCTCTTTGCTCCGACAACCACTCATCCCATGGAAAAGAGACCTTCCTAGAGGCTCTGAATGTGAAGGTGATGATGGACAGCTTCATGATCCCAGATACTCGTCATCTAAGCTGTAGCATTCATGTTCCCTACCTCTGATGAATCCCTTCCTCAGCGCAAGGATAACAGTGATACTATAACGCCATTTATTGAGCATTTACTACTGTTTGCCTGTATCTCTTACGTAATTCTAAGAGATGCCCCACATGGTAAAAATAAATCCATTCATTGGACATATACTACCAAGTGCCTACTATGTGCTACCACTGTCATCTCATCCTTCTCTTTGGAACCGGAGCTGAGCAGGGCCTGGTAGCTCCCCTAGCCATGCCCGAGGGGACAGGACGGGAGCCGACACCTGGCCTGCACCCTGTCCACAAGCACGCCCAGGAGGAAGGCGACTCGACTTTGTGGTTCAAGAACAGGAGGAAGCTGGGACTTGCTTGGATGTCTGCCTCTGCACAGGCATCACTCCAGCCGGGGCCGACCTTTTAAGGGATCCTCACTCCCCGCCGAGGGGCAAACATGTCTCCCTTGCAGTCCCAGGAGGAACTACGAGGCGAGCCCCTGCTTATGGCAGCTGCTGGCTGTCAACCATGGGCCTCACACATTCCTCGCAGACAGCAAGACAGGCATTCAACAGGGAAGCAGCCGGGCCTTCTGTTGGGAATACATACAGCCTAGGCAAAGACAGACCTTTACACGCGTGTGCCTACCGGGTTCACGGCCGAGTAGTAGGCCCAGGCCCTGCAGGCGGAGCCGGGGCTCTCGGGCCCTGCCCGCTCAGTGACGTGCCACACATACGTGTAGCTGCTGTTTGGCTGGACGGCGTTGTCTTCCTGGAACCACTCGGGAGACTCATCTTCGTATGTCTTTCCCTCTGATGATTTTTCATAGAAAAGCCCGTGGGCATGAAGAGAATATGGTCTGGATGCTAAATTTTTGAAACGAACCTAGAAAAGAGAATAACCCATAGACGTACATAAGCACAGCAAAAGCCCAGACCGAACCCTCAGCATTTTGGGCTAAAGTAGATGGTATTACAGGAGGCCCTGTGGCACAGGCTGCCTCCTGCTGCAAAGGGGCTTAGGTATGTCACTTCATCTGACTCTATGACTGCCCTGGGAGATGGGGCCCCAGTCACTCACCCCAGAAACACCAAAACACATTTGTTCTTAGGCTCAAAGCAAAAGTATTGACATTATCTACAAATGAAATGACAGTGGTAAGTGCAGCCGCTGGGAGGAGGACTGAGGATTGCCTCGTGCCCCCAGGAAGCTTCCAGACCGCTGGCAAAGAGACCTGTGCCCGCGTGGATTCGGGTTAAAAATCTGGAGACTCAAGGTGCTGTAGGTAAAGTGTGACCCAGGTAGACGGGAACGCCTGGGAGGCGCGAGCTGGGTGAATGTCTAGAAGTTGGGGAATTAAGAAAGTTTCCTCGGGGAATGGAATTGGCCCTGAAAGAAAGAACGGTGCTCAGCAGAGAGGAATATGAGCATGAGATCATTTTTTTCTTGAAGATGGTTAAATGACTTGGTTTTCAATCTCTGAAAAGAAATGTAATTATTTGTTAATATGGGCAAATAAGCCGTGGAGAGCTGTCCTGCCCCTCCGCCGTTACAGCCCCCTGGGGCTGGGGAAACTCGGCTGCCGATCCTAGGACGCCGGAAGGGCGACTTACTTGGATGACATCGCCCACTTCCGCTCTGATGACAGGACCCAGGAGGCCCAGGTGCTCCTCACACTCCCCCCGAGGGTCACGTGTGGAAAAAGTGCTGTCGAGGTACTTTCGAAACACGACTTTCTTGTAGACGGTGTCCTCCGGAACATCATGATGGTCTTCACTATCCATTTCACTGCAACGATAATACGGCGACCCCTGAACAACGAGGGTGTTAGGAGAACCGACTCCCCGCACAGTGGGAAGTCCATGTCTGACCTTTAAATCTCCCAGAAACAACTGCTAACAGCCTACTGTTGACCGGAAGCCATACTGATAACATAGATTGTTGATTAACACAAATTTTGTATATGTGTTAACATAGTGTATTCCTATAATAAAGTGAGTTAGAGAAAAGAAAAGGTTTTTTGCAAATTATTGCACATCTCCAAAAAATTTTCCAGCGGTCACTGAAAAATATCTGCTGCTAAGCGGACCTGTGCAGTTCAAACCCATGTTGTTCAAGGGTCAATTATAATAGAATTTGTTAAAAAAAAAAAAAAAGACCATTCAAAGAATTTAGGACATCATCTCTGCTTCTGAAGATAGTATCCAGCATAGATATTTAATAAATATTTGATGAACAAATGAATGAAAATATAAATGATTAAAAGCACAAGCCAGTAAATAGCTTGCATATCATTTCTTAGGTAAATCCTCTGATCCTTTAATTAGGCCAAATCTCTGTATCTTTCCTTATTTCTATAGTATATATAGTAAATTATATGTCACTTATTTGTGAGATTATTGATTAATAACTGACTGTGCTGCCAGAGTGAAGGCCCTGTGAGGTCATGGGTTATACCCAATTTGATCGTAATTTTATTTCCAGTGACTAGCAAGTTATCTGGCACATAGTAGGCACTTAATCCATTTTTGTTTAATGTATTAACAATCCATGATCAAATACAATCACATCCAAACATAGCGGATCTCAGTCTTGCCTATGCTGAGATCACATTATCCCTCTTACAGTTCACCAGCTCAGTCTGAGGCCAGAGCACATCAGATGTCTCCCACTGACCCTTAAATTTCCCAACCCCATGGATATAGGCCAAAAGCTCGTCTGTCAGTCTCGGTGTTTGTCATTTACCACAGACCATTAAAAGAGAACCCCATTCCGCCTCTGTCCGGTCTTTCTACCCTACTAGCCCCACCCCTCCAGACTCTAAGCATAACATACAGCCCCACAGAACACACGGGGACAGGCAAAAAAAAACCCACTTTGCCTGGCATAAGAGTGGGTTGCATATCTGGAATGAGATTCAAGATTCTGAAGGAACTGACTCCATCCCATTGCATCCTGGGAAGGCCCGACATTCCTGCTCCTGCAGGACCTTGCTTAGAAATCCCCAGCTAGGATCCAGCCCCATAGGGGGCACCGCGGCCCTGGGCATGTGCCCTGGGAAGACAAGCCACCACAATGTCTGGCTTTGGAAACCAGCAGGCTTAACTTGGGAGAGAGGGAGGCTCCAGGAAACGGCCTCTCCACTCCTGAACGGCTGGTGTGCCGTGTCGATCGGTCTGAGACCCGGTACGGAGGCAGCAGTTTGAAGAACACCTGGGTCATATGTGAAGGAGATCTACTGGCCCATCCTAGGACCTGCGCTGGGGGGGCAGGGGTGAGAGGAGGGCTCTCCAGGAGCAAGTGAGCCGCCAGGTGCCGCTGTCCTTACCGGCCTTCAGCCGCGCGGGCCAGCGTCCCCGGGACGCAGCTCTGACGCCGTTCATCTACTGGGCCAGCACCACTTGCCCCTCCATGCTGCTCCCCTGCAGACCTGCCCCACTCAACGCACCTGCCCAGTGGACTTCCCTCCAAAGTGACTCCTGCCCCACCGACCCGGAGGACAGCCTTGGTTGGGGCTGGGGTCTCACCAGAGGGAGTCTCACCCCACCCTGCCTGGCAGGCAGCCCTGGCGGGAGGTCGCCCCTGCAGAGCCGCTGCTGCCCCGGTGGTGGGGGGCAGTATCCCCTCACCAGCACACCCGCAGAAAGTCCCCCGGGCCTGTCAGGGAGCCGGGAGTAGCATCCCCATCAGGGCACCCACGGGACTAGTGGCTGGTCACTGCTGACAGCTGGGCTGAAGGCTGGCCTCACCAGCACCCCTGCAGCCGTGCTGGCCCAGCCACAGGAGGGTGTGTGCAGCCACATGGGGGACTGGAGTGCCTGGTTCTGGCAGCCAGCAGGTGTTGTCCGTCTGCGCATCACAGGACACCTACTACATAAGGCCGCTGCTTCCAAGACCAGGTGACAGAGCTGAGCTCCCTAACACAGAGGAACAAAGAGAACCAGATAAAGTGGGGAAGCAGAGGAATAGGTTCCAAACAAAAGAACAACACAAAACACCAGAAAAGGAGCTAAATGAAACACATAAGCAATGATAAAGAAGTCCAAGTGATGGCCTAAATGTATTAGACTTGAGAGAAGAGTGGATGAACTCACTGAAATCTTCAACAAAGAGATAGCAAATACACAAAACAAATAACAGAGCTGAATAGTACAACAGATGAAATGAAGACTACCCTAGCGGTCATCAGCAGCAAATCAGAGGACACAGAACTGTCGATCAGCGATCTAGAATACAGGATAGTGCGAAGCGCCCAAGCTGAATAGCAAAAAGAAAAAAAGTCCAAGAAATGATGATAGGTTGAGTACAGACAGCCTCGGGTGTACTGGCATCTGCACTGTGACGGTCCCGGAAGGAGAAGAGAGGTAGGGGCCAGAAAGCTCATTTGAAGAAAGAATAGCTGAAAACTTCCCTAACCTGAGGAGAGAAGCAGGTATCCGGAGACAGAGGCACAGAGAGCCCTAAGCACGTTAAACCCAAAAGGTACACCCCAAGACATAGGATAATTAAAATGGCAAAGATTAAAGACAAAATCTTAAGCAAACAATTATGTATAAGGGAATACCCCTAGGCTGTCAGCTGAATTCCCAGCAGAAACCTTGTGGGCAGAAGGACATGGCGTGACATATTCAGAGTTCAGAAAGGAAAAAAAACTACAACCAAGGACACTCTACTTGGCAAAGTTACCCAGAATTGGAGGAAAGAGGGGGAATTTTCCAGTCAGGCAAACAAAAGCCATAGGAGTTCACCACCACTAAACCAGCCTTATAAGAAATGTTAAAAGATCTTATTTAAGAGAAAGGGAAAAGCCTGTAACTAGAAGCAAGAAAATCAGGAAAAGTAAAAAAATTTGGTAAAAGCAAATATACAGTATAGTAGCTCAGTCACATAAAGCTGGGATGAAGTTCCAAAGATGAAAGTATTAAAATCAACTGTAAACACAAATATTTGTCATGGAATAACAAAATAAAAATGTAAATTATAATATCATACATAAAACAGGAATGGGGAATAAAAAAGTAGTGCTTTTAGAAAGTATTTTAAATTAAGCAGCCATCAACCTAATATAGACTGCTATGTCCGAACCTTAGGGCAATCAGAAACCAAAAACCTATAACAAGCAAAAAATAGAGAAATCCAAGCATAACACTAAAACAAGTCATCAAATGGCAAGTGAAAAGAGAGAAAAAAAGAACAGAGAAGAGAGCTACAAAAACAACCAGAAAACAGGTAACAAAGTGGCAATAAATACATACATATTGATAATTACTGTAAATGTACCAATTAAAGACATAGGGTGACTGAATGGATAAAAATACGAGACCCATCTATACGCTGCCTACCAGACTCACTTCAGACCTAAACACATAGACAGACTCAAAGTGAAGGGATGGAAAAAGGCATTCCATGCGAAAGGAAGTGAATAAAAGCACGAGTAGCAATACTTACATCATTATGTAAAGAAGGGCGTTACATTATGGTAATTACGGATGAGTATGGACCAGTCTAACAAGAGGATATAACAATTATAAATATCTATGCAGTCACACAGGAGCCCCTAAATGGAGCCAATTTCAATAGATGTGCAGAGAGAATTTGACAGTAATACAAAAATAGTAACGAACGCCAACCCCTCACTTTCATCAAGGGCCTTCTCATCTGGACAGGAAAAGAGTGAAACAGTGCCTTCGAAAACACAATAACCAGACGGATTTGAGTTACATACAGAACATTCCATCCAAAATAGCAGAACACACATCCTCGTCCGGTGCACACGGAGCCTTCTCCGGGATCGATCACATGGAGGCCACAACACACGTTTCAATAAATTTAAGAAGGTTGAAATCATTCATCTTTTCTGACCACACAGGTGTGAACCTAGAGCCAGCAGTGTACAACCTGCTGCTAAATGACCAGCGTGTCAATGAACAAACCGAAGAGGAGATAAAAAAAAAAAAAAAGAACCTGGAATCAAATGAAAGCAAACCACAGTTCAAACACGTGGCCAGAAGAGAGGGGAGGGGGCTTTTTCATGATAGGCTGTCACAGACGACTTGTAGGGATTGTTCCCATATCCCCCAGGTGTCACCTCCAGCAGGAACACTGGCCTTGGAAGGGACAAAGGAAAGAGTACAGGGCAGGCTGCAATAGGGCAGTTAAATCATACTTAATATGGTTTGCCCAAATTTATCTCCTTGGATTGCTGTAATTACCTTTTTAGCACTAGTGGAAAAAGAATATAAAAGAAAACCGGCCGAACCTTTTTGCAAGTTTTGCATAATCCCAGGATACCTCTTCAGCAGCAAGGTAGTAGTGTTTTCTGTTCCCGCTGTTGCTGCGGAGGTACCAGGCCGCGATGCTGTCTGGGTTTCTGGACAAGCTGATGTCTGTCCTGATGTCAGTCTGGTAGGGGTCGTCGTAGGCCACGTAATCGACTTCGAAAGAGTATTCTTCACTGGGCTCCTCCTTCGGACTCGGAATGATCTCAATGTAGTCCCCATCATTTCCACTGAGGCCAACGACAACTGGCGGATTGAATTCCCTCGGTATAAGAGTGTTATTTAATGGAGGAGTGTTCTTTAACGGCCTCTGACCACGGTCTGCATAAGGGAAGGTCGGACCAAATTCTGGAGGAGGCACTGAGTGATTAGATTCAGCCCCAAAGGATGTCTGGTCAAGGTCTGGAGGAGGTGATGTCTGCCTGAGATCAGGAGGAGAGGTTGTCCGACTGACTTCTGGGGAGAGGGGCCTCTGGCCAAAGTCTAGGGTTGGGGGAGCCTCTTGGGTCCCATCTGGGGAGAGGGGCCTCTGGCCAAGGTCTGGGGATGGGGGAGACTCCTGGGTGCTGTCTGGGGAGAGGGGCCTCTGGCCAAAGTCTAGGGTTGGGGGAGCCTCTTGGGTTCCATCTGGGAAGAGGGGCCTCTGGCCAAGGTCTGGGGATGGGGGAGCCTCTTGGGTGCCATCTGGGGAGAGGGGCCTCTGGCTGAGGTCTGGGGATGGGGGAACCTCTTGGGTGCCATCTGGGGAGAGGGGCCTCTGGCCGAGGTCTGGGGATGGGGGAGCCTCCTGACTGAGGTCTGGGGAGATGGTTGTCTTCCGGACTGCAAGTTCCAAGAAAGGGAACATCTGACCAGTGTCCGCAGGGAAGGACTCATTTCTTAGCTCATGGCCCAACACGTGGCCAGGCCCTGCAGGGAGAGATCCGTGCCTGGGGTCCGGGGTGGAATGCAGTTGATCAGAGCCTTGAACGGGGAGTGTCTGATAGCGCTCCTCTGGGGACACTGTCTGAGAAAGACGTGGCGGGGGGCTTGTTCGACTGGTGTCATTTGGAGGATTCTGAGCATGGTCAGGAGGCGAGGCCGTCACAGCGGGAGCCACAGAGGGGGATGTCCAACCCAGGCCTGTGGGAAGGGAAGCTCCACTGGAATTGTGCAGCGACAAGGAGTGATCTGGTCTCCTGTCTGAAAACGCGGTGTTGTGTCCCCGAACGGGGTGGAAGCCCCGTGGAGAGAGAGAACCACGGTGTACAAACTTCTCCTCCTTTTTCTTTTTTCGTGTCCTAATGAAAAAAGAGCTTTTCTTCAATTGACCACTTCTTCCATCCTGGCTAATGCCAGAGAATGTCGGGTGGCCGCTCTGCCCTCCATGCCTGTCTGTAAGAGGGGTGCTGTCCCCCCAAGTCCTTGAGGAGTTCTGGGTGCCATTCAGTTCATGAACAGTCATGTCTCTATCAGCATCTTGGATTATTTCATAACTTCCTTTCTCAGAAACCAAATGCCATTTCCCATTCAAAATCTTAGATGGATTCTTTTGTTTAAAGAGCAACGGATTGCTGGGAGGATGCTGCCAGCGCCCCATTCTGGAAGGAGGAGATTTGCCTTGGCTGAAACGCCTCCCGGTTTGCCGTGCCGGCGAGTCCATCCGAGGGGACCTGTGCTTTGCTGCTCTGTCTCGTCCTCCCTTGAATCCCTCACGCGTGGCCCGTCCTTGACTTCTGAGTCCTGCATTGAGCGGGAGCAGATGTATCGCTGTGACATCTGACTGCATAGCATCCTCTGTAGGGTCTTCAGAATAGGGACTGGAATGCTCTGCTGTGGACAGGTTGAGAATTGAGTTCTCGTCTAAGCCAGCATGTCCCAGTGGGGCACCAGCTGTGGTGGCTTCAGGGTGAGAAAGAGTTTTCTTGGGTTCTGCAAAGTCATTGGTGGTAAGCCTGCTCGTGTTGTTTAGGGGAGAAGAGTTTGGACCAACAGTGGCAGCGACACTTGCAGGGGTGGATTCGGGGTCGCTCTCCAGAGCCAGGGCGGTAAGATTGAACCCGTCTTCCTCCCCATTGAGCGACGCGTTTCTGAAGGACCTGATTCCCAGTGAGGAGGCCAGCGTGTCCTGGTACTCGTACTCATCGTCCCCTACACTGTCTTCGGAAGAATCACGCATTTTCCGTGTCGTCATAGCCGTGGGTGCTGCAGGCTCATATATGATCTCGTACGAGTCCTCGTCGTCGTCACGGATGCACTTAACATCCCTGAATCTCAGCCTTAGCTTTTTGCTTCTTGGATTAGAATTCATGGTAGTCAGCATCCAAGTTCCTACAGAGGAGAGAAAACAGAGCTGTAAGTCCAGGGAAAGATACGGAAACCCTGGGGCCCCCTGTGGCAGGTGGTTGCCAAGGTTACTCAGGTGTGGCCTGTGGGCCGCTGCTGGTCTGTGAACTGTTGATTATCATTCTGGTGATGTAAGGAGAGAAACTGAGAGTAAAGTGCTTGGGAAACGTTTTAGCAACCTGACATCCAAACATGTGATCAGCACATTCTTCTCGTTAAACAACATAGATCAGAGTATTGGCCAGTGAAGACCAGGGAGAAAAATAATTTTAGCAAAGATAGTTGCAGAGGCACTGCTGTAGGATATATTTTAAGAACAATGAATCAAGAATAAAATAGACCTTGAATATGATAACTATCTTGTTAGCTGCCCGTGGTGTCTGAGCACTGGGGCTGGGGAGGATGGCGTTGTTTGCCCCACTAGAGACATGTGGCTATTTCTGAGTGACAGATAATCTGGTGGGGCCAGGGCTGCTTTGAGTCTCTCTGGCATGGCCTGACGATCCCCTGGGAAGTCGCCATGGGTCCCTGCTTGCTCTGTGTCTGCCCACTGCCCTGTGCAATCTGCGATAAATGTGACTCTGTAAGGTGGTGTGACTCTGTTTATCAGATGAACAAATGGAGGCTCGATGGGGTCGGGTGACCGGTTCAAGGTCATACGGATTTGAGTGGCAGAGCAGGATTTGAACCCAGGTCTGATGGACTCCAAAGCCCACGTGCTTTCCATGGCTGCAGACTGTCTCTGCAGCCGGCCTCTGAGGCACCGCAGCCGATGACCACCGGCTCTAGGGCACAGCTATCTTAAAATGGAAAAGGGCGTCTCAGAAAAAGAAATGCCCTTTTGTGGGTGAATGCTCAAGCCTCCGTCTCAAAGTCACACTGCCTCTTTCTGCTGTGTGGGTCTTTACTTCTCAGTTAGCCCAGAGAAGGTAAATGGAACCTGCGTTAAGCTCTGAACCCTTTTAAGTGATTCATTCCCCAGATAGAAACCATGAGAGGTACTGAAGGGAGAGCCTGCAGGGGTCAGGGAGAGAAGCCCAGGAGCCACGGTGGTCTGGCGAGCCGCAGCGGCCCCGGGCGGACCCCAGCTTCCTCCGCAGGCGTCCAGGCCCTTACCGACGTTGTCCATGGTGACGGTCACAGACTCCCCACGCATGGGGAAGAGGGTCAGGGTGTCCTCGTGCCTCTTCCCGTAGATGAACGAGTGCCCCGTGAAGTGAACGGTCAGAATGTCGTCCTGGGTACCCACGCTGCAGAAGTGCCACTGCACGGTGTCATCGAAGCAGAAACCCAGTGTGGCTATGCTCTCGGGCACGTAGCCATTGATAGCTGGAAGGGTAAGGTCTGTTCAAATGCCAGGTCTGGGCCGAGAGAGGGCACAGACTTAGTCAGACCCGAGATAAATGTCCCAAAGTTAATTTGGTCGCTCAAAGCAGCGATTATCTGGGATCGGCTTTACCCGGTCTAACACGTGACTAGATCCAGAGCTCTTTCTGCGGTTAGCCGAGGCGCTGTGTCAGCGTCACACAGCCTTATGACCACATCGCTCCGTTCACTCATTCATCAGATGTCTATTCAATATTCTGTGCTGTACATTTCTGCTTTTAAAGATACTCTGAAGACCAATTTAGAATATTATCTAGAAATGATTCTTCCTGGAGGAAAAACATAATCTAAGAAATTCATCTTCTCGACACATGAGTTATTAAGAAGTAATGTCCCTAAAAATGGAGCATACTTAGCACATTTTGTACCTTTTATTCCTCCTTCTTAGCATTTATATAGTCCATACTGTTCATTCCCATATCAAGGTCATGTCAAGTACACACATTTGCACTGTGTTTCAAAGGGCTGCACGCAGTTCTAGGCAGTATCTTTATTTACTTATGTACTAAGTATGGTAGTAATGTCACAGTAGGACTCCTGCGAGGGTGGGGCTCACGTGACCACTGCAGCCCTAATCCTGGGGCAATCCTGGCACTAGGGAGGCCTGACTTACAACTGACATAATGTGCTTCCAGTCTGTGCCTCACTGAGGAGGCTCCTCTAGATAAATGGTCCATAGCTGCGTGACCATGGTGGCCACCGGCTCCTGGCTCTGGGGCACTTTAAATGCGGGTGATCCGGAGCGAGACATCTTGTAAGCACGAAATTCACACCAGGTTCCAAAGACTCAGTAAGAAATAGATCTCACTAATTTTTTATATTGATCATACATCAAAATGGCAATGTTTAGGATAACTGTATCAAGTAAAAGACATTATTAAAGTTAATTTCACCTATTTCTCTTTTAGTACAGCCACTAAAATTTTTTAAATTACGTTTGTGGCTCCTACAGAATTTCTGATGGACAGCATTGTTCTAGAACTATGACAGCATCACTGCCAAAATGAAATTATGCAAAGATGGCTGAGAATAACTCCCTGTTCGCAACGATTTCCAGGGTGCCCACGGCTGTGATCATCCTCATCTGAAGCTACAGGGACAGACCGTGGAGGAGTCACCCCCTGTGTGACCACCTGTCAGGGGAGGTGATCACGGGGGCTCTTCTCTCTGGGGAGCAGGGCAGGCACCCACCATGGGGCAGTGTCCCCCACCCGCTCCGTGCGGTTTCTCTCTCACGTCCTGTAGCCGGAACCCGAAACCTGCAGCAGCGCCCGGACCTCGGCTCAGGGAATCCCTTCCGAGCTTGCTGCCAGGGCAGTTGCTCCCTCTAAGCATTTTGCCTTCCTTTGATTTGATAATCCAGGTTCCTAACCATGTTTCTGCCCTGGCTATAAAGAGATTCACCTTGCACCTGGTCTGAATCCCCAGATGCCCCTGACTGGGGCCTGCAGCCCCTCCCTGCATGGGTCTCCCGCCTGTACACACACACACATACACACACACGCACGCACGCACGCACACACACACCACCCACCCCCAACACGTCTGGAGCAAGAGACCAAGATCTCTGAGGCTAACGGGCCCTGACCCCTCGCTGGGAGAGGGCTGCTCCGGTGTCGCCCAGCGAGTCCCTCACCCAGGCCCAGCCCGCAGACGACGGCAAGGGCTGAGGGGCCGGTGGCTGCCGCCGCCTCTAGGCGACCCACTTCACAGGTGTGAGAAGCCGCTGGGCAGGAACAGTGCCCCGCGCCCCCACTTACTGCTCATGACGTTTGATTCATAAAACTTGGGGTCATCGCGTTTCACCTCGTCGGGGTTCTCGCAGAACTTGCTGATGTTGTCCTCGATGTACCAGCTCTTGTTCTCGTCAAACACAGCGAACACAGCCTGCTGCTCGATGTCCGCGGCCCTCTGGTGGGTGAAAGCGCGGTGCTCGGCGACGGAGGCCCCAGCCGACGGCCTGCAGCACCGAGTTCCCGGAAAGCGAGGGGCACAGGCCCCAGGCCACCCGAGCCGCAGATTCAGGCGTTTCCGAGAGCCCATTGTGTGTGACACCCTCGTTAGAGCCAAAGGTGACACGCAGACAGGGCAGGAAGGGTCAGGGAAGTCAGGGACTAAACCGTCCTACCAGGAAAATCCCATTTCCTCGCAGCAGCTCTAATTCTGTTTCTCTCTCTCACTGGCCGCCTTTCAGCCTGAAGGCCGGACTGGCTGGGCTCCAGAGAGTCGCGGAGGCTGGCACAGGAGGTGGCAGAAGGAAAGCCCCCTACCTGCTGCTCCCCTCCTCAGCTCAATAAATCAGGGCTTTCCAAATGTCAGTTTAGGATTTTTCTAGGCACATATTTATTTTGTATGCCTTGGGGTAAGACTGCCCTTGACTATCGCTTAGCCTAGTAGTCTGGGAACTTCGAGTTAATAATAGGACATTATTATTCTTCAGTGACGATAAAGCCGGAGGGCCCATGTCTTAGTTCACGCTCCTCTGTGTGAGGGAGCCTCGCTAGAGGTGGACCGCTGTCCAGGTCCAGCTTCGCCAGAACCGGTGCCCCCGAGCGTCTCTTATCGCTTCCTAGTATAGGTCTCTGAAAGTAGTAAGGATTGGATTGGCACAGAGCTTCCCACTTCCGCTCGGGGGCATCTCACTGAGCCCCAAGACAGCCCTGTGCGGTTTTAGGAGGGGTGTTACCCTTTTGATAAAAAGAAGAAGAGGGGCTGAGCTCATCCTACAGCCAAGCAGACCTGGAGCAGGAAACTGAAACAGAATCCGGTACCACCCCGTAGACCCGCCTTCTGCAGCCGGAGTCCAGATGAAGGCAGACAAGACAAAGAAGTAACCAAAGGAACAAACATTATCACATTCATGCCAAATGTTGCTTCATATTAAATATGAGTATTTTCTGTTCTCTAGAAGGAAAGCCCCGTTAGTTAGCAAGGAGACCTAGTCTTTTCTTGGCAGGAGGAAGTCCTGGAATTTCTGAAAGCTTGCTTCAGGGGCCCGTTACCTGTATGCCTCGCTTATCCAGGGATCTGCTCTTGCAAATGAGCAGGAGCCCGATGAGCCCGGAGGCGGTGTCCCTGGTGACGTCCACGTTGCTGTAGTAGGGCCTGGTTAAGCACTGGGCGTCGTTCTCCGTGGGCTCGTCCGACTCCAGGATGTTCCACTTGTACGTGTGCGTTTCCCCTGGCTGCACTGCCCTGATCATGGCGCTGTTGCCTGAAGGGAAACATGCTGAAAATGGTTTTCACTTTCAAAATGATTTCATGAAAATAAATGAAATTGAGCTCTCCCTGGAGCCAGTGAGCTTGGGGAAGGGAGACTCTTCCTCTGTGGAGCCCCACTTCAGAGGGCCCCGGGAGCCTGCGGACCATGCACCACAGATGCCAACAACCGGGCTGTGCCATTGCCAGGGGGGCCGCGTCCCTGAGGTGCGCAGGGCGTGGCTGTGGCTTTTCGGGGACCCCCACGTGTCTACCAGGCAGGGAGGCAGCGCAGAGGCGTGGCAGCCTCCCAGAGGTCAGGATCTTCATTCAGACACCATGATCAGAAGAGATAAGAGACACTTGGAGACACTTAGAGGAAAGTGGGAGATGCAGACCTGAGGCGGAGGAAGCGTTGGCGTCGTCGTCATAAGGCGAGAAGGTCACTCCGTGGGGGTAGATGCTGTACGTGCGGCTGGCCATGTTTTTGAACACAATCTGCAAAGTCAACTCGAATTCATTATTTCAGGACTTACAGTCCATCCCGAGAATCAGTACAGGACGGCAGCCTTGGATGTCCTCTCGCTGGGGGGGCAGGTGTGTGTGCGGACTTGTCTGTGTATCTGAGCAGCAGCCTCTCCCGTCACCTGATGGGGCCTCTGAGGGGGTCTCACCCCCCAGTGGGGTGGACAGGGAAGAAGCCTGAGCCGAGGGGCAGCACCCTCCTCATGGTATCACCCTCTCGGAGCCTTCCCCACCTGCCCCACCCTGTCAGCTGGCACCACACCCACCCTCCCGCCTGCCCCCTCTCCCAGCCTGCCAGGCCTCCTGGAAGCCGTCTCCTCGGGGGTGTGACGAGCAGCCAGATCCTGACTCACCAAGAGGCATATTCCCACTTGTTAAGAGCCCTTAAAAGGGGTCCGAGTGGGGAAGGGAAAGAGGAACAGACAGAGGCTCCTTTCTGTCCTTTGGTTCTTCTTGAACAAACAGAGCTGCCTTGTCTGCAGGTACCCTCCCAGGTGAGCCCCCTGAACCGTGCAGAGAGGAGCTGGCGGGTCCAGGGGTCCTGGCGAGGCTCCTCGATCCTCCAAGGAGAGCCTCCATCCTATCTCCGTCTTGGCTGGTTGCCAGAGCACCGGGACCACCCCTAACCTGGGGGCTGCCTGCGCGCTGGACTCTTGCCAAACATCACAACCTTCATTTCTCTGCTGCCCAGTTCTTATTAGAAGCTCAATGATGTGACGCAACATTTAAAGAAAACTGTCCGAAAAGACTCAGCGCTCTTGATACATATGGAAGTTTGCCTTGATCAGAGACCAATCAGAGGGCTGTATACTGAGAACACATCGAAGAATTCTTTTTACTCAGTTGTGTTCACTGTTATGTTCTCAGCTATAACAGGAAACATTATTTTAAAAAGCTATGCAACTTGTTAAACTTATTGTGCCAGCGGTAGGGATTTTATCAAAGACTCCACCCACCGCATCCCCTTTTTAAGGATCCATGGATAACTTCCTCTCAGGTCTGGTATCAGGGGAACCTGCTTTTTTTCTTTTTTTAATTGAAGCATAGTTGATAAATAGTACTATATTGGTTTCAAGCATACAACATAGTGATTCATCAATAATACATATTACTAAATGCTGACTGCAAAAATTATAGTTAGCCTCTGTCAACACACAAAGATATGACAATAATATTGACTATATTCCCTATTCTGTACTTTCATCCCCATGATTTATTTTATAATCAAAAGTTTGTACCTTTTGATCTCCTTCAACTATTTGGTGCACCCCCCTCCCCACCTCCTTCCCGACAGGAAGCACCTGTCTGTTCTCAAGAAAAGAGAGTCTTTTCTTTTGTATGTTCATTTGTTTTTTTATGTTCCACATATAAGTGAGATCATATGTTATTTGTCTTTCTCTGTCTTGACATATTTCAAATAATGTAAAGCCCTCTAGGCCCATCCATATTGTCACAGATCACAAGATTTCATTATTTTTATGCCTGAATAATAATCCATTGGAGTAATAATCCAGTATTTTTATGTCTGACTAATAACCCTAAGATGGACCACATCTTCTTGGTCTGTTCATCTATTGATGGGCACTTACGATGCTTCCATATCTTGGCTATTGTAAATAATGCTGCAATATACACAGGGTTGCATGTAACTATTTGAATTAGTGTTTTTATTTTCTTTCAGTAAATACCCAGAAGTGGAATTACTGGGCCATATGGTATTTCTATTTTTGATGTTTTGAAGAACCTCCATACTGCTTACATTCCCACCAGCATTGCCCGAGGCTTCCCTTTCCTCACCAACACTTGTTATTTCTCTTCTATCTGGCATAGGCCATTCTGACTGGTGTGAGGTGACACATCATTGTGGTTTTGATATGTGTTCCCCTGGTGAATGATGTGGAGCATCTTTCATGTGCCTGTTGGCATCTGTATTTCTTTTTTGGAACAATATCTATTCAGGTGCCCTGCCCATTTTTTAATTGGATTATTTGGGGGTTTTTTTGGTGTTGAGTTGTTTGAGTTCTTTATGCATGTTGGATATTAATTCCTTATTGGATAGATCTCGTGCAAATACATTCTCCCATTCAGGAGGTTGCCTTTACATTTTGTCGATGGTGTCCTTTGCTGCATAGAAGCTTTTTGGTTTGATGTGGTCTCATTTGCTTATTTTTGCTTTGGTTTCCCTTGGCTGGGGAGACATCTAGAAAAATAGCTAAAGCTGATGTTTCAAGAGTTTACAGCCTGTGTTTTCTTCTGGGAGCTTTATGGTTTCAGATCTTACATTTAGATCTTTAATCCATTTAAAATTTATTTTTGTATATGGGATGAGACAGTGAGCCAGTTTCATTCTTTTGCATGTAGCATCATTTTTTTCCAGTGTCATTTATTGAACAAGCTGTCTTTTCCCCACTGTATATTCTTTCCTCTTTTGTCATATACTAACTGATCATATAAATGCGAGATTATTTCTGGGCTCTCTATTCTGTTCCATTGATCTATGTGTCTGCTTTTGTGCCAGTACCGTGCTGTTGTATCACTACAGCTTTGTAGTGTAGTTCAGAATCAAGGAGCATGATACCTCCAGATTTGTTCTTTCTCAAGATAGCTTTGGCTACACTGTGTCTTTTGAGGTCTCATACAAACTTTCAGATTTTTTTGTTTGGGTTTTGTGAAAAATGCCATTGGTATATTGATAGGGTTTGCAGTGAATCTGTAGATTGCTTTGGGCAGGATAGCCATTTTACATTAATTCTTACTTTCCATGAGCATGGAATAGTTTTCCATCTATTTGTTTCATCTTCAGTTTCTTTCATCAGTGCCTTAAAGTTTTCAGAGTATAGGTCTTTCATCTCTTTGGTTAGATTGATTGCCAGGTATTATATTCTTTTTGATGCAATTGTAAGTGGGATTGTTCTCTTAATTTCTCTTCCTGCTAGTTTGTTATTTGTATATAGAAATTGAATGGATTTTGGTATATTGTTTTGTATCCTATGACTTTACTAAATTCATTTATTAGTTCTAATAGTTTTTTGGTGGAGCCTTTAGGGTTTTCTGCAAATACAGTATCATGTCATCTGCAAATAGTGAGAGTTTTACTCCTTCCTTACCTATCTGGATACCTTTTATTTCTTTTTCTTGTCTGATTGCCATGGCTGGCACTTCCAGGACTATGTTGAATAAAAGTGGTAAGAGTGGGCATCCTTGATCCTCATCTTAGAGGAAAAGCTTTTAGCTTTTTAGCTTTTCACCGTTCAATGTGATGCTGGCTGTGGGATTTTCAAAGCCAGACACTATGGGGGCTCACCTTCCTGGCACAGATCCCAAGACGAGGCATGCCAGGCGCAAGGGTTCATCCATCTCCACTCTGTTTCTCATTCCCTCCTGCTTATGGGTTGAGATGGGGAAGCTTTTAGATGCCAGCTGACTGCAGCTCTGCCCCTTTACCCTTCTCAGTGTGGCCTTCTCTGTTCTGTTAGCTGAGGGAGGTCTGTTCTGCAATCTTCAGGTTATTTCCAGAGTTAGTTGTATTGGATGTACCTGCTGCCTTGGTTTGTACACGAGAAGATGGTACCACAGTGACCTCCTATATTCCATCATCATCCCAGAATTTTAAACTATGCTTTTTTTTTTTTATGACTGTGAATCTTCCCCTGACATATTTCCTTTTTACTTTGGCTGCTAGGGAGCTTAAGGTAAAATTTGCAAGCAACCTTAAAGGAGCATATGGTATGTGTTTCATACTTATCCTTGATTTTCTTTCCTTTGTCCCCATAGTATCTTTCACCCAATTACATTGACTCTTTGTTTATTCCTTTATAATTCAACAAACTCTCAGATTCTTTGTATTATGAGGCAAGCTATAAATAAGCACAAATGCTAAATAAAAAATAAAACTATTTGAATGTAAAATGATATGAGCACATTTTTCTTTTTAAAACAAACAACCAGTAATTATAATCTGTCTTTCACCATTAATTTCTTCCACGGTTCTGTATTTCTTACTTACTTTGAGTGTGTCTCTGACCTGGGCTCTGATAATGGGGCCCAAGATCCCATCTTCTTCAATATTGGAATTCTCCAGGCGTTTGGTGAAGGACTCATCTTGATACTGTTTATAGACAACCTTCTTGTAATGTTTTCCAATTTGGTTTGAGAAATTATCCAAATGCAGAGATCTGTATTTTCTTAAAGTGAAATGAAATTTAAAAAAAAATTAAGCCATTTTTCTCAAGTAGCCCCCCCAGAAGGATAGGGAAACCCTTTGCTTAGAATTTCTCCTCTTGGATTAGCTAAAATGCTAGTTTTCTAAAAAAAATTCTTTAGGTGACTTGCCAAGTCCCAATATCCTCTTTCTAGTTGGAAAACTGAAACCTCTGCTCTGTCTCTTCCACCATTAATAAAATTGTTAGAAACAGCTGTTTAGATCTTCTGGCCACTCTGGTTGCTGGAGTTGACGTTCGATTATCTCTGGGAAAAGGTCTACTTGGATGAAAGGATAAGATGCATTATGAATTTTCTTAAGTGTTTCTTATCACTCAATTTATGGTGCCATATTGGCTTTCTGGTTATTTCTCAATCTCTAAAAACATTTTCCCACTCCCGGAGGCTTTTACTGTGTTTTACTATATTGGACGTATTGTATTGAATACCAATACAAACGATTTTGATTACAGTGAAGTTCTCTTTCACATACCATATCCCTTCAACCCCACCTCTTTAGCCCCCCTGCATTTTCTAAATATTCAGTTATATTAATTTAGACATAGTTCAGTGCTGTTGGGCCGTCCCTTCTACCATTCTTCAATAAATCTTGTCATCTGGAAAGTAACCACCTCCGCCCATCTTCGGTAGCCACTACAGTAAAGGATTTGGAGGCAGCTTTGCCCCTTGGTCCTCTTCATCGCCTTAGTTCGCAAAAGCAGAAGCTCAGTGAGAGTTTGTCCATTTATGTATTTATTTTACACAATAAAAAGCACTGATTATTGTCAGAGAGACCTGGGATCCTATTTCAGTTCTGTCAGTTATTATTAGATACACAAAAGAGAAGGGGCTAAGGCACAGCACAAAAAAGATGGACTTTATTGCTCACTCAGTGAGTTTGGACTAATTCCAGATTGATCTGGACAAGAAGATCTGAATGGGATCCTACACATGACATTTGCCCCGTGCATCTAGGACCCTCTGGGGCCTACCTGAACCTTTGCTCAATAGTAAGAGCCCCCAAAAACTCACTTGTCTATATTCGCTGGTATTACAGGCGCATAATCCCAGATGACTTCCTCTGCAGCGATGAAATATTCCCACCTCTTAATGTGCCGCCTCTGGTCCCGAGTTAATGTCTTCGGATTTCTGGTTTTCTTTGCACAGTTTTTAATGTCTATGTAAGCCTGTATCCCAGCTGAGTTAGGACAAAAAGACAGTGAAAGCATTTGAGAGAAAAATTTAAGGCTGATAAAAGTGCGTATCTTTTAAATACATTTATGGAAACATCAAAGAATAACAATGAAAGTAATGCTGAGGCAATTTTAAAACATTTTCGTTTGGAGCTTTTTTAGTGCAGTAGAGAAGGGGTAAGAATAAAATGCCAGAGAGGATGGGCTGGAGGGATTTCCTTTGTTTCTTTCAGAGAAGGAAAATTCTTCCAATTTCCAGATACTTAAAACCTTATGCCTAAGGTCTGTGGATTTTTCATTTTTCCTGCCCTCTGTTCCTTTATTTGTTCAATGGAGCTCATACTAGTACTTACTGTATTAAATTGCTGTTAAAAATTAAAGTTAATACAAAAAGTACTTAACCTTAATAATATTAGTTTTGTTCTTTGTGTCCATTTTATTTTTATTTGGGACTGTGTCTTTCAGGGATATTGTGACAGTTTTCATTGCCTCAGATATAATTTTGACTGTTCACTGTGAACAGAAAGAAGTGATCCCATAAAAGTGTCTTGCTTTTATACTCATTATTTTGGTATGTTATTTTCTATAGTGATATCATTCGCTTATATTTTAGTCTGTTTACACAAACCCTGCTTCCAGCAGTTTTAAAGCAACAATGTGTAATAGAATAATAAATTTTTTTATTTATGATGCCACGTAACAACCCAGGCTGCACCTATGTTCTCTAGAGCCCACCACTCAGCTGCTTAGGTGCGATGTTGTTCCCACTGGACACCCATCCACTGGACTCCTCTTTGTACCAGGCTTTGCTCATCTTGTAAAAGACAATCTTCATGTTAAAACTTTTACTCATCCTGTAACTTAGAGCTTCTACGATCGGTGGGTGTTTGGCTTGTTCGACCACTCAGTCTTTCCCTTCGGCTGCATCTTAAATACCCCAAGAAAAAACACTTCTATGTATCATCAGTTTCCTTCCACCTTTCACCTTTTGAGGAAGGAGAGACCACCCCAGCTTTTACTTCATTTTGAAAGGTTTTTGTCAATTCCCCCACTTCCTCATCCTCAATTAATGGGTTATAAGTATCTCACTCTTTTGAAATTCTAAACAGCAGAGTATCTAAATTCTGATCTCAGGGACCAAGGCATGCAGTGTGGGTGGCTTGAAAGGGAGAATGAGGAGGTCAGTCCCCAGGAAGAAAGGACCCCACATCCGTAAGCAAGACCGTTGGGAGAATCTCTTGCCTTGAAAGTGCCTTGGGATGAGGGACGACACGCTCCACCTGCCCTCCGGGCTCACGGTCATGTTCGCGGTCGTGGACGTGGCACTGACAAGGGTGACGGCGGAGATCTTATGTTGGTTCTGCTCCAAGACTTGGCCACTGAAATGAATGGAGAAGAGTTCTGGCCCAGAGCTCATCCCGATCAGATGCCAGCTGACTTGGTCATAGGCACAAACCGTAATATCTGAGGAGAGGGAGAGATGGGGGTCACAATGGGCAGTTGGCACTGTGATAAAAAGTTCTCTCACCCACATATGTACTGGGCACTTGCCATGCATCAGGCATTGTGCAAGGCTCAGGTGGCACAGACACGCCAACTGTGGCTCCTGCCCTGGGAAAGCAGACACCCAAGTGGCAGGTAAACACCAGTCACAACTCATTGCAGTAAGTGGGACTGTCGAGGTGAGAACAGAGCCCAGAGCGGGGGCTGTTAGTCCAGAAACACAGGGAATGCAAAGGTTTACCCCAAGGAGGGAGCCGAGTAGGTAGCCAGCCATCCTGGCTTCCCCAGAAAAAAAAATTCTTTAGGTGACTTGCCAAGTCCCAATATCCTCTTTCTAGTTGGAAAACTGAAACCTCTGCTCTGTCTCTTCCACCATTAATAAAATTGTTAGAAACAGCTGTTTAGATCTTCTGGCCACTCTGGTTGCTGGAGTTGACGTTCGATTATCTCTGGGAAAAGGTCTACTTGGATGAAAGGATAAGATGCATTATGAATTTTCTTAAGTGTTTCTTATCACTCAATTTATGGTGCCATATTGGCTTTCTAGTTATTTCTCAATCTCTAAAAACATTTTCCCACTCCCGGAGGCTTTTACTGTGTTTTACTATATTGGACGTATTGTATTGAATACCAATACAAATGATTTTGATTACAGTGAAGTTCTCTTTCACATACCATATCCCTTCAACCCCACCTCTTTAGCCCCCCTGCATTTTCTAAATATTCAGTTATATTAATTTAGACATAGTTCAGTGCTGTTGGGCCGTCCCTTCTACCATTCTTCAATAAATCTTGTCATCTGGAAAGTAACCACCTCCGCCCATCTTCGGTAGCCACTACAGTAAAGGATTTGGAGGCAGCTTTGCCCCTTGGTCCTCTTCATCGCCTTAGTTCGCAAAAGCAGAAGCTCAGTGAGAGTTTGTCCATTTATGTATTTATTTTACACAATAAAAAGCACTGATTATTGCCAGAGAGACCTGGGATCCTATTTCAGTTCTGTCAGTTATTATTAGATACACAAAAGAAAAGGGGCTAAGGCACAGCACAAAAAAGATGGACTTTATTGCTCACTCAGTGAGTTTGGACTAATTCCAGATTGATCTGGACAAGAAGATCTGAATGGGATCCTACACATGACATTTGCCCCGTGCATCTAGGACCCTCTGGGGCATACCTGAACCTTTGCTCAATAGTAAGAGCCCCCAAAAACTCACTTGTCTATATTCGCTGGTATTACAGGCGCATAATCCCAGATGACTTCCTCTGCAGCGATGAAATATTCCCACCTCTTAATGTGCCGCCTCTGGTCCCGAGTTAATGTCTTCGGATTTCTGGTTTTCTTTGCACAGTTTTTAATGTCTATGTAAGCCTGTATCCCAGCTGAGTTAGGACAAAAAGACAGTGAAAGCATTTGAGATAAAAATTTAAGGCTGATAAAAGTGCGTATCTTTTAAATACATTTATGGGAACATCAAAGAATAACAATGAAAGTAATGCTGAGGCAATTTTAAAACATTTTCGTTTGGAGCTTTTTTAGTGCAGTAGAGAAGGGGTAAGAATAAAATGCCAGAGAGGATGGGCTGGAGGGATTCCCTTTGTTTCTTTCAGAGAAGGAAAATTCTTCCAATTTCCAGATACTTAAAACCTTATGCCTAAGGTCTGTGGATTTTTCATTTTTCCTGCCCTCTGTTCCTTTATTTGTTCAATGGAGCTCATACTAGTACTTACTGTATTAAATTGCTGTTAAAAATTAAAGTTAATACAAAAAGTACTTAACCTTAATAATATTAGTTTTGTTCTTTGTGTCCATTTTATTTTTATTTGGGACTGTGTCTTTCAGGGATATTGTGACAGTTTTCATTGCCTCAGATATAATTTTGACTGTTCACTGTGAACAGAAAGAAGTGATCCCATAAAAGTGTCTTGCTTTTATACTCATTATTTTGGTATGTTATTTTCTATAGTGATATCATTCGCTTATATTTTAGTCTGTTTACACAAACCCTGCTTCCAGCAGTTTTAAAGCAACAATGTGTAATAGAATAATAAATTTTTTTATTTATGATACCACGTAACAACCCAGGCTGCACCTATGTTCTCTAGAGCCCACCGCTCAGCTGCTTAGGTGCGATGTTGTTCCCACTGGACACCCATCCACTGGACTCCTCTTTGTACCAGGCTTTGCTCATCTTGTAAAAGACAATCTTCATGTTAAAACTTTTACTCATCCTGTAACTTAGAGCTTCTACGATCGGTGGGTGTTTGGCTTGTTCGACCACTCGGTCTTTCCCTTCGGCTGCATCTTAAATACCCCAAGAAAAAACACTTCTATGTATCATCAGTTTCCTTCCACCTTTCACCTTTTGAGGAAGGAGAGACCACCCCAGCTTTTACTTCATTTTGAAAGGTTTTTGTCAATTCCCCCACTTCCTCATCCTCAATTAATGGGTTATAAGTATCTCACTCTTTTGAAATTCTAAACAGCAGAGTATCTAAATTCTGATCTCAGGGACCAAGGCATGCAGTGTGGGTGGCTTGAAAGGGAGAATGAGGAGGTCAGTCCCCAGGAAGAAAGGACCCCACATCCGTAAGCAAGACCGTTGGGAGAATCTCTTGCCTTGAAAGTGCCTTGGGATGAGGGACGACACGCTCCACCTGCCCTCCGGGCTCACGGTCATGTTCGCGGTCGTGGACGTGGCACTGACAAGGGTGACGGCGGAGATCTTATGTTGGTTCTGCTCCAAGACTTGGCCACTGAAATGAATGGAGAAGAGTTCTGGCCCAGAGCTCATCCCGATCAGATGCCAGCTGACTTGGTCATAGGCACAAACCGTAATATCTGAGGAGAGGGAGAGATGGGGGTCACAATGGGCAGTTGGCACTGTGATAAAAAGTTCTCTCACCCACATATGTACTGGGCACTTGCCATGCATCAGGCATTGTGCAAGGCTCAGGTGGCACAGACACGCCAACTGTGGCTCCTGCCCTGGGAAAGCAGACACCCAAGTGGCAGGTAAACACCAGTCACAACTCATTGCAGTAAGTGGGACTGTCGAGGTGAGAACAGAGCCCAGAGCGGGGGCTGTTAGTCCAGAAACACAGGGAATGCAAAGGTTTACCCCAAGGAGGGAGCCGAGTAGGTAGCCAGCCATCCTGGCTTCCCCAGGACCGAGGGTTTTCCCAGGACACAGGACTTTCAGTGTTAGAACCAAGGAAGTCCTGAGAAGGCTTGGGTGGTTGGTCAGTGTAGACCTGATCTGGGCTCAGGTGGTCTTCTTAAAATGCAGTGGACAGGTCCTCATTATGCTGGGCCTCTGGGAGCATTTTCTGGATGGCGTGATGAGAACTGGGAACAAAAGTGGAGGTGTGTGCCCTGTGCCCGCAGTGACTGCCCTGTGCCCGCAGTGACTGGAAAATGCTAGTTTGTTCCATGGGCGAGTCCAACCCTGGCTTCTATCCTTGGCTTGGTTCTTAAATTTCAGATCCATGGTCACTAGGTACTGGATCGTAGGGCTAAGAGCCTGTCCTTTTCCCTCAGAGGGGCTGGGCTGAGGGTCTTGTATTCTGGGGGATGGTCGTATCATGGCAGGGATTCCTGGTGTCATGGTGGGAACAAGAAGCCACAAGGTAGGAGGCTTTGTTGGAAGCATTTATTCACCCCAAAGAAACGCTCACATTGAGTTGAGCACGAATACATCTGTATTGGCATTTATAACACTTGTTTGGTTCATACTGCTCTATAAGGCAGTTTACAAGCGTTAACGTTTCTCAGTTCCCACTAACGGTGTTTCCCAGCCCCGTCTATCTTAAGCCCCAACAACTCTTTTTCAACTATTAACTCACAAACTCTGTGCCCTGATCAGCTATTACTTTCTGGTTTTTGCATATTTGGCGGGGGTGCATTTTATATATTTACACAGATGATTCCCTCTGCTAGGGCACAGGTACAACTTTTCTTTCAACCACTCTCCTGAGGCCCACAGCACTAGACATGCAATCGTACACGTGAAAAATTCTCACACACCCTCTGCACCCTGACAGAAGATAAATCCAAGTTTGTAAATAAGCACATTTAAGACAGCCAGCTGTCGTGGACCACATAAGGTAGGGAAGCGAGCGAGGTTCGAACTCAGATCTCATTAAGGTGAGCGTTTTGAAGTAGCGCTTATTGAAAAAGTGATATTTCCATTTCTTCATTTTTCTCCCTCAGGATCTCTGGCTCTAAGTAATTTCTATCAGAGAAGTGGAGAGAGCCTAGGTGGGAGTCAGTATTTATTTTCTCTCTTAACGGTTGCTATGATTTTGCTTTTTCGCAATAGCGCTCATGCAAATAGAAAGAGCTAACCTCGCCGGCGTATTGGATATCCCTCACTTGAGATGCTGGTGGCACTTCTGCATGTGGGTGTTTCTCCTAGTCTCTGTTCACCCTCACCACGAGTGTCCTCGCTGCATTCCTCCTGTTGACCATTCCTGCTACTGGGTGGGGTTCCTGTCCTGCAGGGCTCCCTCTACCCGGCAGAGCTCCCTGGAGGAAGCTGGGCTGACGTCCTGGCGTCCACCCCGCAGGTGCAGCCAGAGTGCCCTGCTCAGCGCACGCAGCTAGGAAGGCTGCACACACCTTCCCTTAGGGGGCTTCCGACTTGTCCGTTGTACTTACTGGTTAAGAAAAAAGATGATAAAGTCGAGACCACTGAACTACATCACGCTGCCTTGCCTATCGGCAGTTGGAAGCCGCGAGCATGGATGGTCAGCTCCCCTAACGCCTTGAGACGGTGGCGGGACCCCAGGGCCGCGAGTTACCTGGCATCGTGCCATTCACGTAGCCGTTGACGGTGTACATGAGGGAGGGTGACGGTGACGATGGCCGCCTCCAGCTCTTGCTTTCATCAAACACAGCGAACATCAGCACGTATTGCCTGTCAAACATCTTCTGAATGCCGTCCTCGGTGAGGGTGCCTGTGAGGGAGAGGCATGCATTCCCCAGCACCCCGGACAGAAGACTCTCGTGAGCTGTTCCTGGACAGCCGAGAGTGTCAGGCAGGCCACCAGTCATAAAGATGTCAACTTGGAGAGGTTCTCATCTTAAAAAACAGTGACTTTATCAAGTCGTGTGACATGGGACTTACTTCCTGCTGCCACATGAAACGTGTTCTCTGGCAGCTCAGGAACTGGGGGAATTCCTTGAGGAATGGGGCTTTCAAGGTAAATTTGATCTGGCACAGAGAGAAAAGGTTTTGTGGCTGTGTAACACAAGGCTTTGGTAAAAGTGTTTATCTCCTCCAGTGCTGCTGGGGCAGCACACGGGTACACCCCAAGTTTGACACAGCCACCTTGCTTGTGCGTGTGATGGGGTGCCAGAGAATTGGCTGAGGGGGTCAAGATGAAGCCATTCTCTTATGAAGAAAAAAATGCAGCTGATAGCAAACTGAAAGAAGAGCTTTTGGTAAGTTTAAATTGTTTTCAACGCCATCATACTATCTTCACATACCTGGTGATGAAAACACGGACCTGTAGAGTGAATAATGAATTAGGAGAGAGAGAGAGAGAGAGAGAGAGAGAGAGAGAGTGTGTGTGTGGAGACGGGTGGCGAGTCCGTCACACTACCCCTCTCAGTGCCGTCACTGCAGTTCACTGGTTGTTTTCACACAAGATGAGCTAATTCTCTTGGGGCGAAAGGAAGGCTTGAAGCCTGCCCGCAGAAGCCCAGCTGAGGAAGTTTCCTATAATGTTAAACCGACTTTGTTTGGAACCGATGCCCCAAAGTGTCTGGCTTGCTTATAAGAAAGGAAGTTGGAGTTTTGTGTGTTTGGAGACAAAAATTACCAACCCAAACCTCAGGTGTTGGTGCAAGTGCTGCCCAAGCACTCCCGGCAGAGAGCGGGCTGCTGTGTATGTTCAGAAAGGGCTCCCCCGGGGGGCATGCTGCAGAGCTTAGGGCACCGCACCAGGGCGTCTCACACGGGTTTGCTGAGGAGGGGCTCCCGGGACTGAGCGGAAGGGGGGATCAGAGGAGACAGAGGCAGAATCCAGACCTTAGACGCCAACGTCAAGCAGCCATCTGGCTTCCCCCCCTTCTCCTTCCGCTTGCTCTCCCATGGGTGCCGAGACTCCCCCTGGCTTATTCTACCCTAGTGCTTCTCGCCTCCCTAACATCTTTGTTGCTGTGGATTTTTTTGCTTACCTTTCTTACAAATAAGCAGAGGTCCGATCAGCCCAGAGTTGAAGTCCTGTATCAGGTTTTCATAGGAGTAGTAGATGTGCGTGAGGCACGAGGGGTCCTGGTCCGTGGGCCCGCTGTCCTCGGTGATGACCCACTCGTAGGTGTACTCGTGGCCGGGGGCTACTGCGCCGTCCATCCTCTCTGCAGGGAATGTGTGGTCGGAGTAAGAAGCCCCTGGAAGAGTGGAGGCCATTCAGCATCTGGAAGCTCCCGAGGGCCTCCTCACCACCCCCAGGCCCGTGGGGGCACCGTCTCTACAGAGACCAGAATGCCTTTCCACGGTGAGCTTTCATCGCCTGGAAAGACTCCCTGGTCTATGTCATTATAAAGCTTTCAGTCCTTGGCGACCTGGGTGAATAAGACACATTACTAGTGCATTAGTTACAGGTGAGCAAGTTAATTTCCCAGGGTGTCCGAATGATTATTATTTAAATATAGTCAGAGAACTGAATCAGCTTTGATCACTAAGTCATCTCAGGACGTGGGTTGTATTTTCTCTATGGTGCTTGACGAGACATCTTCTATTTAACCGCCTGCTGCGCAGGGCGTAAGAACCCTCAGAACTGCTTACGTGTTGCTCTGTTTCGCTCTGTCTTTCGTATCTTCTTTCCAGCTGCTGTCGCCATCAGCCCTGTTTTTTGCTCTGTCACCACCTGATCATCCCGCTCTTCCTAGAGTCTTGGGGTCCAGCTCCCGTGCGCTGTCCAGCTTTCCTTGTGGGTATGCACTGTGTCCACCCTCTGAACTGTAGATGTATCCCTTCCGCCCTCTGTGTGCCCAGAGGGCCTGTTAACACTTTCCTCTACGTGCAGTTTCCCTGCAGGTGGGGGGCTGGGAGGATGAAGAAAGTGGCCTTACTTACAGAAGAGAGGGGACGGTCATGCTGGTGGTGTGGGGCTTTCAACAACAGAAGGAAGACGTTGCGAGCGATGGAGCGAGCGAGGCCAGGAAGGGGAGGGAGAGGGCAGCGCCGCAGAGGGTAGGGTGGGGGGCAGTTCCCCTGCCTGAGGCCCCCCTCAATCAGGGGAGCACCCCAGTGTCCTCAGCTGGTGCCAGGTTTCTCTGGGGGATACACTTCTGTCTGTTCACACCAAGGCTTGATAGATTCCTTGGGGTGGCAGGGGAGGCCATGGGGTGTAGACGCAGGCAGACAACGAGATCAGGGCGCGGGGCCTAAAGAGCAGGTCGGCACGGAGGCGCCTGGAGACTGTTCTTACTGAAGCGACTCTGCTTTCTGGAAACAGAAGTGGCTCCTTCCTTCCCTTCCCTCGTCCTGTCCCTTTTCTCCTCACTGTTCCTCCCCCACCCCCCCTTCTCTCTCATCCTCTTTATTGATGTATAGATTGCATACAATAAAATCCGCCAATTTTAAGTATACTCTGTGCTGAGCTTTGACAGATGTGTGGAGTTCTACAGCTGCCATCACAATCAAGGCTCAGAGCGGTTCCCTCACCCCAAAAAAGGGTCCTGCAGTCTCCAGGGGGGCAGAGCTCCCCTTCCTGGGCATGGGAGAGAATACAGCCAGACTTGAAGTAATAGTGCCGTGGAGACTTAACTGCCTGACAGAGGATGAAGGCGGATTTCAATACTCTCAGATGCCAGTAGTTCGTTGTTGCCGATCAAGCTGGTGGCACAGGGTAAAGAGGTCTGGTTATGGTTGAATCATAAAGTCTCGACTGAAGACAGGAGACTGAATCAGTCATTAGCTCAACACAAATTCACCCATGTCAGCTGCTTCCCTGTGCCTTCCAGGGCTCTGTCTCACCCACGGGGTGAAGCCCCGGCTCATGGCACGGCAGCCGAAGCCGTGAATGCTGTCCGCCGCCACCCCTCTCTGCCACCTGCATTCTGTACTCCAACAGCGACCTATGACCTCCAAAATCTACCCCAGGTCTGCACTCTTCTCTGTATCTCTGCTGCCACCACTCGGACAAATCCAGTGCCCAGAATTAGCCCATTAACTGGTCCATGGGATTCTGGCACAGAACGGCCTCCCCGTCCGTTTCCCAGCCTGGAAGCAGAATGACCCCTGCAAACCCCAGACCTCACTACTTTGCAGGGTTTCTGCCCACAACCCTGACAAGGGCTTCTTACTTCACAAAAGCCCTAACGTGGACCCCAGGCCCAAATGTGACCCACCCCTATGTCCATGTGGGACTTTCCCCTTGTCCACACGCGTCATTCACTTGAGCCACCTTTTAGTTCCCCAGACATGCCGAGTTCGGCCCCAGCTCGGGGTCTTGGCAGACGCCACCCCCTCTGCCCGGGGGCTCCTGTTCTTCCTCCGAGCCAACGGGTGCGCACCCTTCAGAGGCCAGCCTACTTGCACGCTTATTCCTCCTCTGAGCTCTAATTTTGCTAGGCATTTTTTTCTTTTACCGCACTCATCACAACACCTCATTAAATATGTGTGTGATTATGCAATTAATCCCATTTTCCCCACTAGATAATCATGACTCCATCATGCATATCTGTTGCCAGCATGGGGGCCCCTCAGAAGCAGGTGCTGGGCTGTCGCGGTTTCTCCCGCAACTTCCTCGGCGCCTGGAAGGAGGAGGTGCTCGGTGCCCGGGGGTGTTCCCTGAGCTCTTAGGGCTGCAGGTTCTGTGTGCTAGACCCAAGGTCAAGGCTTAGCTCCTGGGCGCATCCTGTGAGGACTGCACGGCGTTTAAACAGACTAAATGCCAATGCTAACACAGAGATATGCAAAGAACCAGTATTGCCAGCTTCTCTTCAAAAATCAAAGCCTGGAGATCTGGGGTCATTGGATCAAAATCCTGCCTGGACCTGAGTCCTGGCCGCCCCTTCGGACAGGACACTGGCTGGCTGATCACCAGCCCCTCTGGACTCCATTCTCATGGACTCGCCCTCCTGGCTGCTGCAGGCACTGGGTCTGTGACCCATGTACTAGTGAAAAGCTTACATGGGGCTCTGTTGTACACCACCCCCCCAAATAGAAGATAGTTTGACACTGACAGCCAATGTTTGCCATAGGTGACCTTTCACCCTGTTGATCAAAGGGATTTGAGTGTTAAAATTATCAAGAGCCGAGAAATGTTAAAAGCTTAAATAACTGGAATAATATTATTCCAGTCTAAATCAAAAGAGAAAAAGGAGTTTATGAGGAAGCGTCTTTGCCAATCAGGAACCGTCATCTCCGGAGTTACACAACGGCCTTGTCGGACGCACAGACAGGACTGACGAGGATCGCTGCCCGGCAGCCCGGCCTCCCCTGCCGACGGGCACCCGCAGGCCAGGCTGCGGGCTGGGGCTCTGGAGAGCCGAGCCCCGGCCTCCACTCGGCGCTTCGTGCCTCCTGGCCTCACCAGGTTAAAAACGGATGTTTCTGGACACGGATCTTCCACTGTTCCGACTGCTAACACATCCCAGGGGATTCCTAGAGTAGAAAGTGGCATTCTTTCCATTGCCTCGCAAGCTCTCAAAAGGACACGTGTATCATTCTGTGGAGAGTGAGAACTAACTTTTGAAGTTCTTCCTCTTTTTTTGGATAAATCCATGCTCACCTGTCAGACACCAGCCTAGATGTCAGCACTCATTCCCTGATCCGCAATCCTGAGCTACATGAGAGAAAAGCATTGCTAAGTACATGTAAATTACAGTATTCACAACCTTTAATCAGACATTTGTGAGACTATGCAACCATGACCCTTGTCCTGCCGCCTGTGGGGGAAAGTACATGAGTCTGGTGGTCGGAACTGAGATTTCTTGGTTGTATCGCTTGTTGACAGTGTGAATACGGGAGTTTCTTTACCTTCCTGTTGGTCTCTTTTCTCATTTGTAACAAAGATGATATCATCCTTTTACCAGCGGTAATGTAATGATGTACCATTTCTGTGGTTGTGAGGGCTGGAGAAGATATGTGGCCTGTCTGGCACCTGCGCAGTGCCATGCAGCCCGTGGAAACGTGGACACGCACCCTAGAGCTTCAGCCGTGTCCTCTCCCAGCCGTGCTGTGGCTGATCCAGCCTCTTTCCTTCACATTTCAATTCTGACGAGATGTACCTGGCGTTCTCTTAACACCCGTGGGACAGTGAAGGTGGCGACGTATCTGTTCTAAAGGTGGTAAAACTGGTAACACGATTAGGTAACTGCTCACGGTCACCAGCAAAATTGACACATTTCAGAGCGAGGGAAGATCACGTGCAGTCTCCTTCCAGCCTGTCCCTCAGCCCCTCAGTCGAGTTCAGTGATGACGGTGATGCCGCCTCATTCCCATTGTGTCCGGGGCTCTGGGCCAGGTGCACGTACAGCCCAAGACCCTGTAGGGCTCACAGCCCAGCGGACTGGGGTCCGTGCTGGTGCCCTAGGTGTGATGAATCTCACCTCTGAGTTTCCTCTGGGCCCACGTCAGTGGAGAAGCGACAGCCAGAGCACATTGTTCATCCACACTGAGAACCAACCAGGATAAACATCTAAGAATCACTGAGTGGCTGTAATGCCGGCTGGATATAACAGTGAGACTGCTAATATCTAATAGTATCGAACTCATTTTTAAATGGCCAGCGCTTCATATCCAGATGTATTTGAGCACATAGGGGTTTTTAAATGTCCACTGAGCTGACCAAAGTAAATTGAGAGTCTCACATTCTTATGTGAGTTAATTATAAATTTCAAATTATTAAATGAATGTTTTTAATTAAGTTTATGCCACAAAAAGATGAATTATGGGCATCTTGAAACAAGTAGTGTACAATACAGATTTGCACATGGGGATATATTCTGTAACATACGAAGTGAAGATTACCAATGAGATAGTTTGGGGATGATTTATCAAGGTTTTTATTCTTTTCACCTTGAAGCATTTTATTTTGCATTCAGTCTGGAATAAAATAGGCATGTTGTATCTTTGACCGGTGGCCTACATAATATGAGGTATGATATATAAACAGTTATCTAGAGGAAGAAAGCATTAATGAATGCATTTTTTTTTTGGTGAACCCAATTTTGGCTTTGTAATCAAAATAAAAAGGTAAAACTTAAAAAAAAAATTGAAGTATAGTTGATATACAAAAAGCTAGAAGCCTTAACTGAGAAGAGGAGAAACGGCCAGAAAAGGTGATTGTACGGAGCACAGAAAGCCCCTGTTCAGCTTCTCAGCGGAGCAAATGCTTAACACAGCACGGCCTTCATTGTACATTTACTTAATTCCGTTCACTTCCTGCTCCGTCCACAGTGGGCTCTGTAATTCATTTACTCTTGTCACGATGAACTAATTAATTGCCAAAAGGGTCTCAGTACTTTTGTTCAAATGTAAAATGGTGCGTGGCAGCCTTGGGAAAGGGGACTTGATCCCGGGCGGTTCTGCTCAACCCTTAGGACGCCGTCTGGGAAATCCTCCCCCGGGACGTTCTTTGAACAGCTCTTTTCCTCTCCATTTAGTAAACTTAGTGAATGTTTCAGTGTGGATTCAGAGATTCAGAACATTCCTTCAGAAGCTGTACTTGGGCAAATTAGAAGCCCAGTGTTTTGTGAAGAGCCGGCTGTACGGCATAAGGCGTGTGAACCCCTGGAAGGAAGGCTCACATTTTTGAGATTTATGAGAATTATTATATTAGCTATTACAGTTTATTTCAGGTGTTTCTCATACACTCAAAGAAGTACTTATACAAAGTCAAAATATTCAGATGAGAAGAAAAATGTAACTGCCTACATTATGTCAAGCACTGGAATATTTTGGAAAAACCTGGAAGACTAAGTTCTCATAGAGAATTTGCAACACCACTTAGATGCAAAGAACAGTCTCGGGTGGGAATTTCATTTATTTTTTATTCAGAGGTGGCTTGCTTCCCAGCAGACACCTAAATATCACAGAACCGATTTGGGGATGTAGTATTCAAAATGCAACTCACATTTAAAATGCAAGACTATAAACCAAATTAGAGAAAAATATTAAAATTCACCGGGAGACAAACTTTTAAAGGTAATTGACCAGAACAGCTTCAAAAATCTTAGTGAACCACAAAATTTGCTCAAAATCAACACTACAAACAGGACAGCGCATGCTGGGTTCAGAGTTTCTGAAACTTTAGCCTCAGATTGAAGCTCTTCTTGTGATAGATGTTTGTGACAGTTCCGTTGCAGATTTTTATTTCCTGCTTTAAAAACATCCTATTATATACATTTCTAAAGGAAATGTTCTCGTAAGCATTTTTACAAGTCACAATTTGTCCAGTGTGCTGAAAGGGTCACTTACACTCCCTGGCCCTCTGTGCGATTAAAGTTTTGCTCACGCACACCTGGGGAGGTCCTGCAAACTGGGAGGAGGCTGGAAACACCAGGCCACAGCTTGGCGTTTACGTCAGATGCTGTCAGATTGTGGGGACAAGGCCAGCATAGGGCTTCACAGTAGGACAGTTATGTCTTTCCTGGCCAGAACTCAGATTTCCAACCATCTCCTAACGACAGCATGACCAAGAATTAAGAAAGTGAGAAGGTTCCTGGATGACCAGTGTAGGTGTCACAAATCCACGCGTGAAGGCTCAGCGTCTTCCCCTGCAGACGATATCGTACACCTCATAGGCCTTCATTTAGAGTGTTTGCTCGCACACTACACACAATGCTGACGCCGTAGACGCTTGTAAAATCTCACAGTGGATTGGAAATAAAGGTGTAGAAATGGTTTAGGAAGACTTACTTCTCAGCTCCTGTTTTTAAAAGGGCCTGGAGAAGTTATAATGTTCAGAAAGATTTACATCCAAAGTGATTAAAAGAAAATAGCTTAGACACTTAAAGAAGAAAACCTAAAATGTAATTATTCAAAATGACTTATTCCTTCTGCGCTCTGGATAACAGACTTTTCTTTGCCATTTTAGTTTCTTTTGGCATCTACATCCTATGGGAGAGTTGATTTCATCTGAGCAGAAATAAAATGATGAGCGCTCCCCAGGGCCGAGGCTTTCACTCAACCTGAGCTTCTGGAAACAACATCTAATGCCTGCACTACAAACTGCCACAAAGTAACCATGGCAACAGCTATCGTTACCGTGTGCCAGCTTTGTGCCAGGAACTTTACACGTGTTAGGATTAATCCTCACAGTGCCCTCAGAAGGAATTACTTTGCCCACTTTGTGGATATAAAACCGAAGGTTAGTGGCAAAGGAAATCGCCCAGGTCCCCCCAGGGTTCAGAGGCAGGCCCCCCACCACCGGCCCTGAGGCCTGCACTCCCCCAGAGCTTCCTTTTCCTTCGGGCTGATGGGAGGGGGTCTGCAAATCCTAGGTGGGCTCAGGCTTCATTCCCAGATAAGGGCTGCAGGCTGGGCTGGCCGTTCACTGGTTAGAGCAAGCGGCCACTGGGCAGGGGCGGAGCCCTCTCCCCAGCCCTGTATCGGCCTCAGCCCGCAACCATCACCCCTGCTCTCCCCCTCCGACATAAGGGCAGCTGGACTCTGTGAAGCTGGCTCAGCATGGGGTCAGTTTATCTCCACTCCTGGAAAACTAGCTCAAACCACGGAAGGAAACACGGGCAAGGGTGCATTTCAGACACGAGAAGGTGGTGTTTTAGTCTAACACAGAGGCACAGTAAAATGGACAGAAGGCCTGCCTTTTACCGTGAAGGATGCTCTATCTACTTGATTGATTGGCATCTCCTTTTCGAGATCAAATGAACTCCCCCACGGACCTGCGTTTACCTTTCTCGGTTTCATGCGACCTGGGGCAGTAACCAGGTGACCAGTGGAAGCGGTGGGAGCGTTTTAAACAGTTGCTCATGAATGACTGCTGGCTGTGGGGAAGCACAGAAAACAAGTGCAACAGGAAGGGGGACGAGGTCGCAAGGTTCAGTCCCTCTGCAAACAGCCAGCAGGGGCACAAAGTCCACAGCACCCACCTCCGCCCATGATTAGAACGGAGCTTTCTGAGGGGTCTGTCCTGCACTGTGCGCCGGGCTCGTGCGGCAGCCTTCTGCAAGTGCCGTAGCAGGGGAAGGGGTTGTTTGCAAGTCACTGTACGATTCAGGAGCGACCCCAAGCATATCACCTCGCTCAGCGTCTTGCCCAGCTGGCCCTTTAAGATGCCTGAATTTCAGTTATCATTTCAATGTTTTCCTCAAGCCGAAGACGAACGCCGATACTGACACCCTCAGGCAGGACAGTCCACTGACCTGCTTTCAGCCACTTACACCTCGGTCAGAATGAGTCTGACAATTTACACGGGCAATAATACATGTGAAAGTCACTTTCTAGCCCACAAATTATCAGATAAATATGAAATTATTTGAACCCATTTTTAAGAAATGTTAACTGAGATATAACTGACATAAAACATAATCTAAACACATTTAGATGGAAGAACCGCCTTTACCGTTACAGTTGACACTTATCGGTCTATTGCATGCCAGGCACTGTCCTACGATTTCATGACAACTGAACTGTATGAGGTGGGAATGATTATCACACCTTCATACAAATGAGAAAGACGAGGCACAGACTTTCCAAAGGTAACACCCGGAAAGCATCTGAGCCCAGATTTGCACCAGGCAGTCTAGGTCCAGAACCTGCATTATAAACCACTCTTATTACTCTCATCAAGGGTATGGTGGCTGGGACATGGGGAAGGGAGAAGAAGATGTGTGACCTATTAAAAGTCTGAAGTCACTTTTAAATGTTATTATACCAACATCCATTGCGATACAGGTATACTTTCCTTTTATCAGTTCCTGACAGAACTCTACTCTGCTTATTATGGTCGGAGCGTCAGCCTAATGGAGACAGTCAGACCAGAATCAGTAGGTACTTACCACCCTCTAGCAGAAGTGAGCACGCTTACCCCATCACCTTCATGATCTGACCCATCCATCCCTGTCATTGCTACCATCATCATTTCCTTCCAGGTTCCAGGAACCATGTTTAGTACATTGCCTAAAGGATCTCACATAACCTTCAAAGCAGAATCTCATGCAAAATCTCATTTTTGAGATGAGAAAACCGAAGCTCCAAGCTGCTGAAGTCATGGAGCCCGAAATGACGCAGCTGAAGCTTGGACTTAAGTCTGCCTTCAAAGCTTGTGACCAGAACCCTTCACCATGTCCAAAATGTAGCACTACTTCTAGTACGACCACTGCCACAAAATGCCACTTATTAAGTGTCATCTCTGTGTCAGGCTATCCTTAGGTCAGCCTCGTCCTGCGTCACTATTTCAAGCAATGGCTCGTGGGCCAAATCCAGCCCGCTGCCTGGTTTTGTAAATAAAGTTTTATTGGGACACAGCCATGCCCATTCATTTACAAATAGTCTCTAGCCATTTTTGTACTAAAGATAGAGTTAAATACTTTTGATCCATGGCCCACAAATAGTTACTATCTGGGTCTTCACAGGAAAGTTTGTGGACCCCGACCTCCAACCATTTTGCAATGTGCATATTGTTTTTCTAATTTTACAGATGAAAATATTGGAATTCAGAAAGATTAGGTAACTTGCCTATCCAACTATCCAAGAATAAGAACTCAGCCAAAAAACCGAGGTCTAGATGACTCCGGAAAATTTTCATTTTCCTCGCTGAAACTTACAAAGGCACCAATTTTTATAATTACCCATTGCAGGAAAGGAGATTTCACTTAACAATGTGGTCTTACGTGTTTGACACTGGTGTTAAAGAAGAAAACATTTTCCTTTATCAGAGGGATATTACATTCCTCTTACCTTCTGCAAATTTACTGTATTTGATTCCTTGAGGATGGATGCTCAAGGGCTTGCTTGCCTTGTTCTTAAAATGAACTTTCATGGTGTCTCCAACCTCAGCGTATAGAGTAGGCCCAAGAAGTCCTGTGGAAACAAGGATTTACAATAGGCTGTGGTCAGGATTTCCAAAGGCAGGGCTGCTAAGCAAGGAAAACAGGCAAGAGACCCCCCACACACCCGCCGTCCTTCCTTCTGGTCCTGAGGCTGACCTGCTGGCCTTCCATCAGAAAGGCCCGCCAGCCCATTAGCTCCACACGCATGTGGTCAGGTCAGGACAGGGAGGCGGCACCAGTTGGCTTGGGCCCAGAGCAGATCAGAGACTGGGAGTAACAGTTCCAGCCACGTCCACCCCACGTCCACTGTCATTTCTCAGGGACTGCCATCTCTGGTCAGCAAAGCCAGGGGTCCGATTTCAGTGATACAGAGAGATGTGGGGGGCAGGTGGGAGACCTCAGAGACCAGCTGAAGTGAGGGAGCAGGTCATCCAGCTCCCCAGCCCTGAGGCAGGGGTGAGCCTGACGGCTCCAGAGGCCAGCACACAAGTGGGGTGGGCGGAGCGGGAAGGGGCGTGTAGATTGTGAGGGACCCGGGGGCCACGGCGAGGACTTCAGCTTTCCTCCTAAGTGAAACGGGAAGTCCCTGGATATTTGGGCAAGAAACACAGGGCCAGGAATGTTTTAAAAGTCCCCCCAGCTCTGTGTAGGCAGCAGTCTGGTGGCAAGGGTGGAGGCAGGGGGCCGGGAGGTACAGACAGGAGGCGGTGGGCCGTGTGCGTGGCCGCAGAGTGGTCAGAGGTGGTGAGAAGGGAGAGAGCCAGGAGAATTTGCTGACGGGCTTGTGTGGCACGAGAGAGAGAGTGGGGACAGGGTGTCCCTGAGGGTTTGGGGCTGAGCAGCTGCGTAAATAATACCAGTTGCTTCAGTAGGGCACACAGCAGGGACAGCAGGGTAGGGGGGCAGAAGTCAAGAGTGAGGAGTCCCTTACTACACGTCAGGAGCTGTGCCAAGTTTGGAGATGGAGACGTGGCGGCAGGGGCCGAAGGGCCAGCTCTGCCTGGGAGAGAGGGTGGAGCTGCTGTCGGAGGCGGGGTCCTGTAGGGTCACCCTAGAGTTTCCCAAGTGTGGTCCGAGGTGCCAGGCCTCAGGACCACCCAGCGCCTAAGGAAAGGTTCATCCCAAGTCCTGGCTGAGCCCCGGTGACTCCAGAGGCTGAAGTTTGGGAAGCTGAATCTTAACATGTGCTGCTGCCTGAATCTGAGTCCTGTAAAGCCTGAGAACCTGTCACCGGAAGCCCTATTTCAGACAAGTGACCGGAACTGACTGCCCTCACTTCCAAGCCCTCCCCAAGCCGGTGGGGGGTTGTACCTACCCGCTGGGGCCACAGGAGCTGGAGAAGCGAGGGCAGCCACGCCCAGGGCACTCGCTGGCAGCGGTGAGGACTAACGGGCCTCCCACTTAGCGTCCCCGATGAACGGAGCCCTCGAAGTCCCTGCTTAACCCTCCCAGCATTCCTTAAGGTAGATATGAAGATCCTTATTTCACAGATGAGGAAGTAGCTTCAGAGGGTTTAAAAATCTTTCTCAATACTCTACAGTTGATTTGAGGCAGATCCATGACTGAAATGTAAATCTGACTCCAGATCTGAGCCTCACCCACACCCCTTTATATTACACCCCCACCTCATTCAGTCAGCAAACGTTTAGAGGGCCCACATCATCCCAGGTGCCAGAACTGCAACGGCGAGCAGAGGAGAGGCACTGCCCGCCTTCAGAGAGCCTACAAAGTAGTGGGAAACACAAACTTTCAACAAATGATCACCCAAATATCTAACCACAAAGCGCAGTATGACGGAGAAGCGCAGGACTCTGACGTGCATTTGACGGGGGATCTACCGACCGTGGAGCCAGGGAGGGGGTCACGATGGAAGTGCTTCCCGGAGGAAGTGGTTCTTTAACACCCAGAAGCAACGGGTGGGCAAGGGCGTTCCAGGGAGCAGGCTGAGCCCTGCAAAGGCCCTAAGGTGCCAGAAAATGACTATTCAGGAAACTGACAGACCCGTGGGGAGGGGAGAGCTTAGTGGGCAAGAGAGGCGGCAAGTGAGGCCGAAGCCATGACACCGAGCAGGCACGGACGCTTTGTCGGCCTCCTGCAGTTCTTCTGCCTTTAACCTGAGCGCGTCCCAACGCCATTAAAGAGCTTCTAGCAGGGGTGCAACCTGGACCCGATTCTGGTTTTTACATCTCTGGCTGCATTTGTGCAGGATGGTCCGGGGAGAACGCAGAGTGGACGCTGAGAGCACAGAGGGGGGTCCTGGAGGGACACGGTGGTGAGTCAGTGTAAGGGCTCGGCAGTGGGGGTGAGCAGGGGATGGGTTGGACATGGGCAGAGGCAGGAGGTCGGGGTGCTGCGGATGGCTGGTGGGGGTCCGGCCCGGGGGGCTTGGGGCACGAGGCTGCCATGCTCTGACATGGAGGACACTGCGGCGGGTTTCGTTTGGCGGGTGTGGTGGCAGAGCAATGGCCCCCCAGCGACGTCGGTGTCCTGATCCCTGGGCCGGCCGATACGCTGCGTCATGTGGGAAAGGGGGGCTCTGCCAGTGTGAATGGCACTGAGATGGAGAAAGCCTCCTGGCTTACCCAGGCAGGCGCAGAGCCATCACGGGGTCCTTACGAAAGGGGTGCAGGAGAATCTGAATTAGGTTGGAAGATGCTGCCCTCGGCATGGCAGGTGAAGGGGCCATGAGCCCACGAGTGCAAGTGGCCTTTAGTAACCGGAAAAGGAAAGGTTGTCCCCTAGAACTCCCGGGGAATGGAGCTCTGTCAACACCTTGACTAACCCACCGGGACCCACTCTGGACTTCTGACCTCAAGAACCGTGAGGGAATAGATCTGTGTGGCTTGAAGCCATGACACAAACAGGAAACCAACTTCCCATCAGCAACAGGCAGACATGGTCCCTGGGACAGAGGGCCTGTCTGTCCGCTCACCATGGTCTTTATCCTGCCACTGAACCCCGTCACGCGTGTATGCTTGTGCTGTTCCTGACGCTGTTTGAAGTCCGCTCTGCACGGGACCATGGAAGTCACACCGTTCAGCCCTCATTTTAGAGGTGGTCACAAAGCCCAGGAGTGGAGGCAGAGAGGGCGGCTTACCCAAGGCCAGGGGCTACTGGGCGGCATTGCTGGGCCTGGAACCCAGTTCCCAGGACCCCGGGGCCAGAGCTCTCTCTGCACCTCCCACAGCGCAGGCTCAGACCCCCGCCTTCCTGTAACAGCTCCAGGTCTACACCACATGGGACTTCCGGCCACCCTCCACTGGCTGCCCCCTGTGTGCCAGATGCCACCCTCATCCTTGCTCCCGTTGGAAGCCCCCACAGGCTGGGACACCGAGAAGCCCATGGGGCACAGGTGACGCTGTCACCTCGTCCACAGCATCTCGTCGCCGTGGCTCCTTGCTGGAGGCTTTGTCTGTCAGCGTCCACGGCTGCAAATGCCAGACGCCCACAGTGAGTCTCCTAAGCCATTTACCCTAAGACAGCCTTTCACTGCAATAAATGGCGTGTTTATTCAGCCTCCCTGTCCACTTCTTAGAATTAAGGCAAAACAAAGGGCTGTTTTCATAAACACAAGCCAAGTGCCTTTGCACATGCAAGCAAACCACGGCTTACGGTGGCTTCACTGCTTGGTTCTTCCCCAGCCAGATGGCCTGAGACCCTCCCAGCCCTCTCAGGGGTCCAAAGCCAAACGGGGGGAGGGAGTGGCCCACCGGGGTCCCAGGAACACAGCAGCATGTGCCCAGTTGCAGGCGGTTTGGAGCTGGAAAGGACGCCCAAGGTCAGCTAATCTAACCCCTGCCTTCAGGTGAAGGACGCATCACAGAGCACAGGGAGGCCCATTGTTGCAGCTATTTTAAAACACCTCTGGGGACAAACATTTCGCAATCTTCCTTGAGAAGATGCAGAGACTCAAAACTAGCCATTTTAAAGCCCAGGTGAGGATCTGAAAAGAAGCCTGGGCCCTCCACCTGCCCACATATCTGCGAACCTCACTGGATGGGCACCTGCAGACCTCCAGGCCTGCAGCCAGACCCGTTCCGTCCTCAGCCCAAATCTTACTCCAAGTCCAAGCCTTTTCCTTGACCCCAGATTTGCCCCCTCTGTCAGCTACCACAGGGACCAGATAGGTGAGTAAGCTCTCACCCCTGCCCTCCAGGGGTTCCTAGTCACGCAACAGTAGGAGTTCTGGTACAGGCTGCATAAAGATGGATGTTAATGCCTCAGAGTTCACGTAATACAAATATGTTAGGAGACACCCGGGAGTAGAAAAGCAATGTTTTAAGTGCACAAGGCTTAAACCTAAATCAGCCATCGAGGTCTACTTTGGGAATTCCCCACAGAAAACCATCTCAAAGGATTTTGCTCATAATACTCTGGTCTTCAAAAACCGACCAATGCCTCCTTACTGCTTGGGAGCAGCCTCGGCCTGGCACGGAGCCCTCTTCTTGGCCTCAGCACAGTGGCTTATGCGGTGCCGACCTCCAGCACCAGTCAGCTTGGCAAAAGCCGCAAAGAGCAGGGCTCCCCCTCCCTGCCCGGCCTTCCTTCCCGGGCCCAAGGAGCGTGTTTCCCAGTGCGTTTTCCTTTCGCCCACCTACGCTTTGATCTAATTAAGTAGTTCTTAAATATCAACCGTACACCCTGAGCTTGGGGAAGGAGCTATGAAAGTGAACAGCCTCTGGGACAGAGGACGGGAATCCTTTAGCCTCCTGCCCACGGCTACAAATGTAACTTCATTGGTGACCTTACTGCCCAGCCCTCCCGGCCCCGGGGGAGGAAGCCTCTCTCCTGCCCCAGGCTGACCCAGCCCAAGCCTAGAATCCCACCCCTTCCCATTTCTTCTGAGTCTGGCTGTTGATTAGCTTCTTTTCTCTCCTTATCTATTGGGTTTTTCTCTTGAGCACTTAGGTGTTTTTAGCTGTGGGATTCTCTTTTTTATACAGCTTCAAGATGTCCTGATGCCCCTCCTTCCCTTCCAGAGCCAGCCTGTCTCTCCCCCCACTGAGCCAGGCATCGGGGAGGCATTCTCTCCCAGGCCCCCTGCCCCATCCTCTCATCTTACATCTGCACTTTGTTCCTTGGGAGGGGCTCCGAGGGGCCAGGTAGAGAGTCTCAAGAAGGGGGAGATCAAAGTCCTGCTCGTGGGAAGTGGGAATGAGGCATGGCTGTGGGACCTGGGGTCACAGGTGCCTTTCGCTGGGAGTGGTGTCAGTGGATACATACGAGAGCGCATTACGGAAGGAGAGGACACCGTGTCACAGAGAATGGGGGGCTGCTCGCAAGGGAACCGGCCATGAAGGGAACCAGAGGAAAGGCAGAGACAGGAGAGCGGGGGCGGGGGGAGACTCGACAGGACGGCCCGGACACAGCTGTGGTCTGTGTTATGGCTGATGACTGACTGCGCGCAAGGCTCTAGGAGGGAAACTGAAGATAAAGGGAGCTCTGAGGAGGCAGGGCAAGTGGGGAGAGTGAGAGAGGTGGGGGTTGACCCTGGTTAGGGGGAAGGACGGAGACCTCCTGACCGCAGTCCTGCGGGAGGAAGTTCTCCATGGCCCCTGTCATCCCTGTGAAATACGGCCCCATGTTTTAGATTCCAGAAACACACCCAACCTACTTTCCTTGACTGAAGAAGAGAGGAGGAGAAATATTTTTCTTTAAAAATGATAGCTCTCTTGTGCCAAATAAAACAGGAGGGATGAGAAAGGTGGATGCAAGAGCGTCAGCCACAGACACACCGACCGGGCCTGGGAAGCACGGTGGAAGCAGAAGCTATTTGCTAAGCCTGACCTGCAAGCGTAAAGCAGACCGCAAGATCTGGGAAGGCGGCACACGGCCTGTCTTGTCCACTGTGCACCCAGGGCACCTGGTTCAGTGCCCGGCCCGGATCAGGTGCTCAATGATAGTGTGTTAGAGGATGAATAAAAACTCAAACACTTAAAGGTTTTGTTTAACTTTTTCAGCAAGGTTAAAAACAGGCAGCCTCATGGGTGTGTGACCTACGTGTCTGCACCTGGCCCTGTGCTCAGAAGGGCCCTTGCACAGGTTAGTGACCTGCTGTCACTGTTTTGAAATTCTCCATAATGTGTATAAAGGGTCCCGCATTTTCATTCTGCGCTGGCCCCACAAATTATATAGCCTGTAAGTGTTAAAAACAGATTTCTATAAAATGTCATTGAATGGATATTTATATATATATATACACACACACACACATACACATATATATGGATATCAAATTATCCTTAGAGCTTTATCTTTAAAATTAAAAACATATATTTCAGGCTTACCTGAAGTTTTAGGTTGTGGTTTTTCATTTTGAAAATATGCATCATACTCTCTGTAGACAATTTTCTGAAACAAAGTTGCAGAAGAATTCAAACTAGAAATAAAATATAAAAATTAATTTGAAAGGCCTAGAGGAGAAATAAATCTCTCATGTTCTCAGACTTGTAGTAGGAAAAAACAGTATTCTAATTGTATTTCAGAAACCTAAGGTTTTATAAATATGAACAGTAAGTGAAGAGAATAAAATAATTATTGGTCTCTTCAAGAATGTTCTGTCATTATCATTCCTTCACAAATTCAGTCTGCCCTAATTCATTCACTCAATTAATTTTCTAAAAAACCTAAGATCATAGCATAAACCCAAACTTTAGATTTTAAATGATTAAAAATACCAAATCCCTTATGAACAAATGTGTGGGCTATTGATCCAGTACAATTTTAAGCTACTGGGGAGCATTTTCAAAGACTATGGGTGTGGGGGACCCTATTTCTAGTTAATAAGTTGGAGATGGTTGATGGAATAAAAGCTTGGGGTTGGTACTGGAAACAAGAAAAAAAACCTGAGTCTCTGGAAGTTCAGTAACTTGTCTGAGGACAGGTGATAAATGGCAGGACCAAGGTCAAAAAGGTGAAGCCATTGTATCGTGGTGAAGACCTGGAGAGGGGCAGGCAGGGGTTATGGGGTGACCTGCGGTCCTTCCGAGTCCCTGAAGACAGCACACCGTTTCTCTCCTTGTCTTAGACGCAGAGAGGAAGGTGAAAGGGAAGAGAATTGGGAGAGGTTTTCAGAGATGTCTGAGCTAGCTGACCAGCTCTGTTAAGCTTCCGAACCCAGAGAAGGTGGCCCACCTTAGTGAAGGCACAACAGGGTGGGATGTTAGGCCCACAAGCTGTGGTTTCTACATAGCACGGTGGCTGAGAGAGCAGGCTGTGGCTTCAAAACATCTGGGTTCAAATCCTGTACCTACCCCTTATTAACTGTACAGCCCTGGAACATATGTGCCTTGATTTCTGTAACTGTGAGGTGGGAAGGGTAGAACCCCTCCTCCCCACAGAACTGTTATCAACATTAAATTAAGTTGATGCCAGCAAAGGGCTCAGAGCTGGCACATGTGTGAATATTCCATACATGTTAGCGAGTTATATTTTAAAAGCACAGTAACAGTTGGTTTTTAGCTTTCAGGCTTATTCTCACAGTTTTTACGAGGTGGGATACAGGAACTGGGCCAGCGTTTGGGGGCAGAGGTGAGGCATGAGCTGGCATTTCTGGGAAGGCTGGCTGTTGAGGGCAGTGGGTGCTCAACACTGGAAACACTCAAGTAGAGACTGCACAGCCACCAGGTAGGGGTGATCGTGCTGGGCTGCAGGGGTGGATAGGAGGCTGAAACATGGAAGTTGGAAATGAATTACATGACCTCTTAGAGTTCTTCGAGCCCAAGTGGCTTAGGATTCCATATGCTGGTTGCATCCCTAGTGTGCGGTTCCCTTGTTATTTATTTTTCTCATTGAAAATCAGTTGAGAACCAATCCCCACCCCACTCCCAGTCCTAGTTCTTTAAATACGGAAGCATAGATGATGGCGTGAAGTCTCTACTAAGAAAAACCAGTCTTTCATGTGGAGTAATTTTAGAAGTGTTTTCCTAACATTTTATGGTACGTTTTGTGTGTACACACTGAGGTGTATCTGTTTTGATTTTGAACAATTGCTATTGAAAAATAACCTGAGCAGAAAGTTTAAGATGATAAGAATCCAAGCAATATGCATGATGGATTTTTCCATTTATGAGGATTTCTTAAAGATGATTTATTAATAATTAAAACCACATAAAACTAGAAGCCTAGAGGGAAAAGTATATGTGTATGTTTTTTCATATCTGTTACTAAATCCATGTAAGAAAATGAATAAGTTACCTTAGGGAAATTTTCAAAAACTCTTACTTCAGACCTGGTATAAGAATAATAGATGTATTTCATCTCTAAAAGGCATCGTCCTGCTAATGTCAGATGAAATAAAAGGGAAGATCTTTGCTTTGTGCGAAAATAGTTTGTCAAGGGATGGAGTCGTCTGCTGATTTCCTTATAGTGACTATCATTTGGCTCTGGGCGCAGGGCAGTGGATACAAGTTCTTAGTTTAAGCAGCCAGATATACAGGTCGGCTCTTTCATATGGAAGTACTAAGGAGAAATGATATGATCTGAAGTTAAAAATATTGACAGCTGGCCTGGGTCACCGCTGGATTCAATAACTGACACCGCAGGAGAGTCTTCCTACAGTTCTGGAAACCCAGCTTCATAATGGGGCTCCCGGAGGACTCACCCCATGAACCTGGCTCTCGCCCTCTGTCGTTCTGCCCCCCTGGATTCTGCTTATTTTCAGCGTTAACTGTGGACGGAAGAACAAACTCTCATGGGGAAGCACCGAGTGCCACGGGAAAGGCAGCAAACTTGTGTTCTACCCACGAGCAGGAAAGCCTCACGTGGGAAAGGCTGTTATTTATCTTTGAGGTTTTAGTTCATGGCAGCCCCCCAAGGGGCTGGGTGTGACCTAGATCACCACCTTGCAAACCAGTATTTAAAATATTTTTTAAATGGAAGGATTTCCTGTTATCGCAAGATCAAAACAGTGTGCAATGCCCTCCAAAATAACCCAGCTACAAAGCATAGTCTTGAAGGGTTAATGTCATCCACTAAAAGACTTAAAACATTATTTCTTGGCCAACCATTTTGGTTTTGTAATTGCAAAAGAGAAGCACCTCTTTCACAATCCTCTCAACTGTGATGTTAAGAAAAAAAAATTGAGTCACACTCAGAGGTTAACCATTAAAACAAAAATACAGCTAACTGGAAAGATTGGGTAGATCGTATGATTTGTTCAATTTCTGGGAAGTCTTCTTAACATTTCAATTGGGGAAAATAATTTGCAACTCAAAGACGGCTTTATATTTAAACTCCCTCTTAGTTTGGCTTTTAATAGCGACTCTACCGAAAAGGCCAGGGTTGACCGAACCCCCGGAGGAAACGAGAGTGTAGAAAAATGAAGGGTCCCACGAAGCAGGAAAAAGGTGAAAGAACAAAAATGTTGCCTTTTTATGGACTGAAGATGTTTTGAAAGCCATTTACAAGAAAGCAACAAAATCATGGCACTTGTCATTGAATAATCTGCTTATAATGGAGGAGGAGGTCTTCAGGTGCAGAAGATGAAGCTACGGAGAACGGGACAGACTGTGTGGATAGAAGCTCGGAGAAGACAGGAGGTCCTGGACGTCTGCAGATGGGGCTGCACAGCTAGGGGTGGGGGGCTCGTGAGGGCGCCGCGCCTGATGCCTGTGAATCAACCCATACGTTAAAGCGACAGCAGTCGTGCGAACAGAACTCACAACAAACTCTTGAAAGCGGCACCTGTAGCCAAACCGAGTCTTTTCTGCACGGTCAGAACGATACACCGTGTCACTGCGGGAGGGTTGGCATCCGTCAAATGTCTCCCGGTCACCTTACTCTCCCACTGATCCCACTTACCTGAGGTCTAAACAAACAACAAACAGAGCCACGGACCGCGCCGGGGAGGGGGGGGGGG